TGAGGAGGCAGCTGAGGTTTTTGTAGGTTTGTGTGCTTTAGGCTGTGCGGCATATGTCCTGACTGGTCCTTAGCGAGACTTCTGCGCCCCCACTCCGAAGAGGCGTGTCGCCACTGGGTAGACGACCGGGATACCCCCCGCCCCCCAGCCTCCCGTGTCACACAACACACAACCACCCCCTGGGTCCGTGCAAGCAAGTGTTGTGTTTTGGTATGGGTTTTAAAAGAGAAGGAGGGGGATAGAATTGTGGGGAACGATGTGTAGTGACAGAGACGGGGGGAAAAAACAAAAAAAAAAAACAAAATGGGGTGGGGGGAACACCCCCCCTTTTTTTTCCACTTTTTTTTTTTTTTTTGTTTTTTTTGGGTCGGCGTCATCAAAAAGCGCGGACACCCAGACTACACTCAGCTGGTGCATGGAGTACAACCACAGTGTCTTCCACATAGTCAACGTCTACACTAACCCTACCCCACCCCTAACACAGCTAGCAAACCCCTGTCTCCCTTGGTCTTGTCGTTTTATCTATGCACCAGTCATCAGGGAGCTCCACAGCAATCATCGTTTGTAGGTCACAGGCGGGTCCCTTTAATTCCTTAATCTCCGCGACCTTGTGGTACTCAAACCCACTTGGGGCGGGACCACTTCCCACGTCCAAATGGAGTCCTGGTATAGGGACACAGTATTGTCAGTTTTGTCTTGCTAGCTCTTAGTTTTGTCAGGGTATAAGTTTTGTCCTTTTTTTGATGTCCTATTTAGGTTGTGACGGTAAACAAGTATATTCTGCGCTGGAAGTTTACCTACAAAACCCTTAACCACGCCATGTGAGTACGAGAGAGAAACCACGGCATACATATTACTGTGTTGCTCTATGTGAGTAGCGACTAACTTCTCTCCTCCCCGAGAGAGTTTAGTTTTGCTATTACTTGTCAAGCCTGGAAGCAGACCAGCTGTTAACTCTCTTGGAGTTATTCATCAGACACCTTGCCTGTATGATAGAGTGCCAACACACTTTTTATTGTTCGTTTTACTCTTGCAGTGGCAACGTCACGCAGCCTGATCAGCTGTTTACAGTTTTGGTGCTGATAACGCTGTGCAAAAAAATCTAGAAAACTCAAGCTCAATTTTTTCCGACACAGGAGTGTTGTGTTAAATTCTGATGCAAGGACTTTGAGTTCTCGTGAAGCAAATTCCTTTTTCCTGAACCAGCCATTTCAGTAATTTGAACATATTGTGCAATATAAGTCGGTTTGGTTTTAAAATTAGTCTTACACTGACAGTTTTATTGTCAGTATATTGTATATGTATAGTTATACGATGGCGGCGTGTGGTCCCTCTCGGAGTGGGTCATTTTGGATAGGGCACGAGGGTCGGCTTGAGTGGGGTCATCAAAACCTGAAGCCACGAGTGTGCCCCAGTAGACCACAAGCCCAATCCATCCTATAATGTTGTTTTATGATGACATGAGGCGGTAATGCTTCTGCCAATGAGTTTTTTTGCGCAAAAGCCTTTCAAAATGCCCTCTTGTTTAACGCACACCCTCAGGGTACGGGAGAGCTAGCTAGCAATCGATCGGGAAAGACCAGCTTTCAATGACAAGCACTGAAGTGGCACCATCTCGGCGCACTGGACGCCGCACCCGTAAGAAACGCATGCGCAGTACCACTAACAATGGGCTAGGTTTAGTTTAAGATTTACTCGTGGTCTCTTGCCAGCTACGCTCGCGCATGAGAGTCTGACGCGTACGGCGGGGTCCCCTACACTACAACTACTAGATCAGCATTCGCAGAGGCGATACTACACGCCCTGCGCTTGCAGTCTTCTGCGTGCCGTCCGAGTAGTACGCTGAGCACGCGGATGCGATCATATGCGTATGAACGCCGTTTAGTGTCATGTTGCATATTAGGCTCTGCCCGCTCGTAGCCTTAGCAATGGAGCATTTTCAGAGAAACCCACCTTTATCTTCTGACCTTCGTCGCCCCGTTGGGTAGAGATGTAATCGTTTTCACTGTTCTGGGACCAACGAAACGTTCGACAGTGAGTGTTGATAAGATAACAGACACACCACACACACACACACATCAGAGAGACAGAACCATGAAAAGCACGTAAAGTGCAACCCTCGCGAGTAGCGTCGCAGAGAGTCTGACACGGCTAGTAGTAGATAGCACGCGAGAGTCGATTCACAACGCGCATTCGTGTTGACTAGCTGACTCTTGTGCCTTCAAGATAGACAGTGTCAAGCGGTACCCGGTCGACGTAAGCCTCGCTCATATAAGCGCATGCGCTTTTCATCTCCGCCTGCGTTAAATGTGGCGACTACCGCATTAGCCTCCAATGTCTGGAGCGCCTGCTCAGACTCGTGCACGGAGCATTTTTCAAACCATGTCAACAATTTTCCACAGCACAGTCAAAAACATCATCACCACATTTCACGACATCCATTTCATCCCTCGATGCAAACACCAGTCACAACGCAACAATGAGACCCGCCATGTAAACCCCACATAGTTTTCTGACCTTCGTCGCCCGTTGGGTAGATGTATCGTTTTCTGGGTCGACAGACATTCGAGAGTGTGATATGTCGCAGTAACACACACACACCACACATGCAGACACATTACACAGTCAATGAAAGCCACTGAAGGTGCCAACCCTCGCTGCGCACTTGCTGTGTACGCGCGCCCGTGCGTAACTTAACGCATGCGGCAGCAACACCACTAATTGATGGGCTGGGTTTAGTTTTAGCTGTTACTCCTCGGTGGTCTCTTGCCAGCTCGCGCAGAGTCCATGACGGCGCGGGCTAGATCGCATGCTGAGAGGCCCTGCGTGCATCTTCTGGTGCCATCCGAAGGAGCGCAGAGCACGCGTATCGATCCGACTGTGCGTAGGCCACATCCCGTCCGTTGTGGTATTTGCATATTGTGCTTTTTTCCAACACGCTCTAGCTTGCAACGAGCATTTCAGAGACCACACCTGCCTTTATTTTCTGACGCTTCATTGGGCCCGTTCACTAGGGTCCTAGCCTTTGTGAGACGAACAAACACTCGAGAAGTGAGATTGAGAGTAACAGACAGACAGACAGACAAACCCAACTAACTACGTAACCCTCGCTGCGCATGCGCGCCGATGGCTTATGAAAAGCACTGACAGTGCACGCTCTCGTCTGCACTGTGACGTGCACGAGCAAATGCGTAAGTACAAAACGCATGCGCCGTCACACTAATATTGATGGGCTTGCGTTTTAGTTTCTAGAGAATTACTGTCGTGGTCTCTCTTCCCAGCTCGCGCATAGTCTGACGCGGTGCTACACCACACTACGAGATAGCTGCGAGAGTCGATCACGCTGTGCGTTGCATCTTCTGGTGCCACTGCCTGAGAGCACGCGGATCGTTCAGACCAGCTGTAAACCGTCCCGATCCGTTGTGTATTCTGCATACTTGCCTTTTTCGCTCTGCTCTAGCCTTTGGCACGGAGCCGTTTTCAGCGAGAAAACCGGTCGAAATTTCTGACTTCATTGCCCGTTTAGTAGGGATCGTATCCTTTGTGAGACGCAACAAACACCCGAGACTGTGATGATTGATAAGTAACATACGACACCAGTACACACACACACGTACAAGATACCCAGTACTGTATCCTCCGAGCTGCGCATTACAAGTTCTGTGCGCCGAGGGTTAAAAATCCTTCTGCAAGCACCATGCGTTTTGTAGTAAAAAACCAATGCATCGCGCATGCGCATGCCACGCCCGCAATAATTAGATTACCACTACTCCACTCGCTGTGGGTGAAAACGATGCCAGCAGGTATGTGTATCTAGCTTTTGAATACTTGTCACACACAGCATTACACAGTTGTAACGTAAAACCCTCGTGGCATCACACATCACAATTGTGCCACATGTCTCATGTGGCACTGGTTAGACAGAAAATAATACTACATACTTAGTGACTGGATTCATAATAATGTCCAAAAGTTTATAAAAGTGGGAAACGCTATAGGCCATTTGTGTGTGCTGGTGTGAGAATTGTAAGTACTTTTAATTGTCTCACTCTCTGATAGCACATAGTCGGCAATAACCACCATTGCATTCTTTACTGTCCAGCTCTCTTGGCTCTCTGCACGTATTGCATGGAATTTAATGATGCGCATGCGCACATGCATGCCCCATGTTTGTTTACACAAGCCTCAGCAGATTGCAACCTGAGCAATCACTGAGTAAGGTTGTCAATCAACTGATGCACGAAAGTCGATTTCGATGTAACCATCTCTCACAAATTGTGCTGGTATTTTCCATGCATTTCTCGAGCAGTGTTAACTCATTGCCCAAAGCACCCCTCGAGGGTCAGACTACGTCACTACAAAACGCAACAGAACGGACGCAACGCAAAAAAAGAAAAAATAATGCAAGAGACCGTGGGATTCCAACTAGGGACCCATCCCTTGTTAGACAAGTGCCTACCTTACCACCTACCACCTTATTAACCCGCCACCCTTCCCCGCCTAGCTATTCACTCCACACTCCACTGCTCATGAAGTAAGGCGGAAATGTTACCTATATTTCGGGATTACATAATCAATTGCGGCCCGTAATGTGGACCCCAATGAGTTAAGTAGCTTGGTACTCAATCTAAAGCAGTAGGAAATGTGTGTGCAATGTCTACAAAAGAGTTAGGACTAATGTTTTAAACAGCAAGAGAAATTACCTCATTAATATCGTGGTTGGTCTTGCAAAAAGTCTCCAAGAAAGGAATTCCGCATTTGGGCTGCAAATTCTTCACCCATTTCCCTGGTGACAACTCTCTTAGCCTCCATCTCACACTTGTTGCCAATCAGCGCTATCTTCACTTCACATGATACATTCTGTGTAGGTACATAGCTATACATACTTGAATGCACCTTTGCATGAAACACATTGCCATTCAACCATACGCAGTTCACTACCTCCTAGACTACCCACTTCTACAGCATGCAGCATAAGTAGGAAAAGTATGCCTTTATTCAACAAACATGAACCCCTCTACAGCATGCAAACCTAAGTAGCTGACATATGTTCTGCTGCACAATAGTAGCTGACATATGTTTTCCTGCACAATGCACCTAGATACTATTACAGTAGGCATATTATACTACAATTAAGCTCGCTCATCTATGCATATTAGAAGCAAGTAGCCGGGGAGTAAAGTATAATTAAGTGTATGGGAATTACCTTATTGGGGCTAAACTATGTGCAATACTATGCATGTGGTTCTACAGCTAGTGAATCCAATTGGTGCAGTGGCTAAGCGTAGTGTTGCTAAACATATTGCATCTTAGTAAGAAATTACGCATTATTAGTGAGGAGTTCTCAGCCTCAAAGAGTTTTAACAGTAATAATAATAATACTCAGGTGGCTGCCATAGCACTAGGGCCATAGACCACGCACCCAGAGCAATGGGCGGAACCGTTAACACACGAACATACACCATATGAACATGAACATGAGGTGTCTGTCTCACCTCCCAGACACCTCAACTCACCCCTTCCACCAGCGACACCCTGCAGCTCCCCAGACGCAATCTGAGACTGGGTTTGTTGTACACAGGGACTATTGAGGAAAGGGTTTCAACTCACCTCCTCAATCTCACGGAGCCACCTCTGAAGGTTGTCAAATGGGTGCTGACATGTGACATCATACACAAGAATGATTCCCTGTGCAAAACAAAAAAGGAATTTGAAGGAGTCACACACATTTTTAAAGAGGCACAATGTACCGTAGCTCCTCTGTAGTAAGAGGAGGTGATCGTTCTAAATCTCTCAATTCCTGCAGTATCCCTGTAGATTGAGAGGAACAGGATAGTAGTCACATGTGCTTAAACTCTACAGAAAGACTGATAGTGAGAAATGTTAGAGTTACAAGGTTGGCTTCTATACGGATAATAGCTAAAGGTCAGCTCTATTTAAAGCACACTGAGGCTAATGGCCCTAAAGCAGGATTTTCTATCCCCATAATTTTTGTAACACACAATGGACAAGGGGGCTTTGTAAAAAATCCACTTGGTCAAGGGGAACAAAGGTGAGCAGGCATCAAATCAGGGAACACTGAGTCCAACTTTTATAAATGCAAGACGAGGGACCAGTTACAGCTGCCAATGGCGGAGGATGCAAGGCAGACCCTTGACACCAGTCATGGTGTCAAACCTGTACCTGTAGCTAAGATGGTGGCTATACTATAACAGCAAAGTAAGTCTAATACCGTGTGGGAAGATTCTCGGTGATCAAAAAGGAACATTATACTTATGTGTAAGAAGTAAGGGAGAGGGTGACCTGTTCAAGGAAGATACCGGTAGTACTTAGTATATAGGGATTGACATGGTACCTAGCATCATATATGTATGGGGCTATGATAGGGAGTTTTGTTCATCTTCTTCTTCTTCTTCTTCTTCAGATTTAACTCGCGTAATTAAAAAACTACGAAAAAACATAGAGTAATGAAATTTTGTACCATCACCCGAAGAGACTGGTCACACTTATTTGTTTGTAAACATCATTTTTTACTGTAAATAACAACAAATAGCCCCAGGCAATACATTATAATGGATCACATGTGTCGGTATAATGTATTGCCTGGGTGCCTCACAAATGGAGCTATGTGAACGAAACTTTGTACACATAATGTATTCAATGACCAACATTAAAATAACAACAGTCCGTGTTTGTAAACAACAACAAGTAGCCTCAGGCACTTTTGTTTAAATTTACTTCTTCACTTCTCAAACTTTCCAATGGTAGCACGCATAGAGATGAAACTTGGTACATATGCCCATTAGCTATATCATTTCCATGACGATTACATGTCTCCATGGCGACCACATTGTTTGATAAAGCCTCAGGCAATTTTCTTTAAAACTACTTCTTAAACTTGCTGACTGTTGCACACATGGAGGTGAAACTTGGTGCACATGCGTATTAAATCGTTTCCATGACGACCACAACAACAAATAGCCTGAGGCACTTTTCTTTATAATTACTTTTTCACTCCTCACACTTGCTAACGGCAGCACACATGGAGATAAAACATGGTATGCCTATCATTTCCATGACGACAACAGGCATTCTCAACTCGCTAACGGTACCACGCATCGAGATGAAACTTGGTACGCATGCGTCTAACATCGTCTAACATCATTTGCATGACAATCACTTTGTTTGAACAAGAAATATTCTTTAAAATCACTTCTTCACTTCTCAAACTCACTAAAGGTAGCACGCATGTAGATGAAACTTGGTACACGTGCGTATTACATCATTTCCATGTCAACTACATGTTTCTATGACGACTACATAATATTGTTCAAATAGCTTCAGGCACTTCTCCTCAAACGTGCTAATGGCAGCACACATGGAGATTAACTTGGTACGCATGTGTATTACATCATTACCATGACGACAACAGGCATTGTTCTCTGTTATTAATTTTTATAGGGGGCTTGCCCCCTTTCACAGGGATATACGCAGTAGTATATAAAAATTTAAGGAGACAAATAAATTAAAAATCCCGCAAATTTTAAAAAAGAGGCATATAGCTAGCTAGGGATGGTATAAAAAGAAAAGGAGACAAGATAGGGATTGGATACATGAAGCATGGTTAATGAACAGATTTAAGCACGCTGATACCCCGACCCCATCACGCAATCCCTATAATATTGTTGAATGTGTGTGCATGTCAGGGAGACATGCACACACATAGCACATGATCCCTGCCTACAACACCGCACAGATGGCTGATCGCCGGTCAGTGAGACATGCACACACACAGCACATGATCCCTGCCTACAAGACCGCACAGATGGCTGATCGCCGGTCAGGGAGACATGCACACACACAGCACATGATCCCTGCCTACAACACCGCACAGATGGCTGATCGCCGGTCAGTGAGACATGCACACACACAGCACATGATCCCTGCCTACAACACCGCACAGATGGCTGATCGCCGGTCAGGGAGACATACACACACACAGCACATGATCCCTGCCTACAAGACCGCACAGATGGCTGATCGCCGGTCAGGGAGACATGCACACACATAGCACATGATCCCTGCCTACAACACCGCACAGATGGCTGATCGCCGGTCAGGGAGACATGCACACACACAGCACATGATCCCTGCCTACAACACCGCACAGATGGCTGATCGCCGGTCAGTGAGAACATGCACACACACAGCACATGATCCCTGCCTACAACACCGCACAGATGGCTGATCACCTGTCAGGGAGACATGCACACACACAGCACATGATGCCTGCCTACAAGACCGCACAGATGGCTGATCGCCGGTCAGTGAGCACATGCACACACATAGCACATGATCCCTGCCTACAAGACCACACAGATGGCTGATCGCCGGTCAGGGAGACATACACACACACAGCACATGATCCTGCCTACAAGACCGCACAGATGGCTGATCGCCGTCAGGAGACATGCACACACATAGCACATGATCCCTGCCTACAACACCGCACAGATGGCTGATCGCCGGTCAGGGAGACATGCACACACACAGCACATGATCCCTGCCTACAAGACCACACAGATGGCAGATCACCGGTCAGGGAGACATACACACACACAGCACATGATCCCTGCCTACAACACCGCACAGATGGCTGATCGCCGGTCAGTGAGCACATGCACACACATAGCACATGATCCCTGCATACAAGACCACACAGATGGCTGATCGCCGGTCAGGGAGACATGCACACACATAGCACATGATCCCTGCCTACAAGACCGCACAGATGGCAGATCGCCGGTCAGGGAGACATACACACACATAGCACATGATCCCTGCCTACAACACCGCACAGATGGCTGATCGCCGGTCAGGGAGACATGCACACACACAGCACATGATCCCTGCCTACAAGACCACAGATGGCAGATCGCCGGTCAGGGAGACATACACACACATAGCACATGATCCCTGCCTACAACACCGCACAGATGGCTGATCACCGGTCAGGGAGACATGCACACACATAGCACATGATCCCTGCCTACAACACCGCACAGATGGCTGATCACCGGTCAGGGAGACATGCACACACATAGCACATGATCCCTGCCTACAACACCGCACAGATGGCTGATCGCCGGTCAGGGAGACATGCACACACACAGCACATGATCCCTGCCTACAAGACCGCACAGATGGCAGATCGCCGGTCAGGGAGACATACACACACATAGCACATGATCCCTGCCTACAACACCGCACAGATGGCTGATCGCCGGTCAGGGAGACATGCACACACACAGCACATGATCCCTGCCTACAAGACCACAGATGGCAGATCGCCGGTCAGGGAGACATACACACACATAGCACATGATCCCTGCCTACAACACCGCACAGATGGCTGATCGCCGGTCAGGGAGACATGCACACACATAGCACATGATCCCTGCCTACAAGACCGCACAGATGGCAGATCGCCGGTCAGGGAGACATACACACACATAGCACATGATCCCTGCCTACAACACCGCACAGATGGCTGATCGCCGGTCAGGGAGACATGCACACACATAGCACATGATCCCTGCCTACAAGACCACACAGATGGCTGATCGCCGGTCAGGGAGACATCCACACACATAGCACATGATCCCTGCCTACAAGACCACAGATGGCTGATCGCCGGTCAGGGAGACATGCACACACATAGCACATGATCCCTGCCTACAAGACCACACAGATGGCTGATCGCCGGTCAGGGAGACATGCACACACATAGCACATGATCCCTACCTACAAGACCACAGATGGCAGATCGCCGGTCAGGGATACATACACACACATAGCACATGATCCCTGCCTACAACACCGCACAGATGGCTGATCGCCGGTCAGGGAGACATGCACACACACAGCACATGATCCCTGCCTACAAGACCACAGATGGCTCATCGCCGGTCAGTGAGCACATGATCTCCGCCTACAGATGGCACAAGGAGACACTTCACGCATCTTACTGCATTTTTATCACTTGTAGGAGTTAAAAATGAGCCTTTTCTCTCCGGCCGCCGTCTCTAGCTCTCTGAACCGCCTTTTCCCGGCCAACTCTAACGCGCATGCGTGAAATATGCTGTCTCATTTGATTGGAGAAGGAAGAAGCCTCGATCTCTCCAGGAGTGGAAGTGTCTTTGTGTCTTTATTGTACCTCTCCCCTTTATCCCCTACACATTTATGAGCTCATTTTGTATGGTTCTGAGAGATTTTTAAGTATGATAATATGCCCTCTGGTCTGACTGTGCCCAAATTCTCCAGACACTTATATAGAAACTGAGCAATGGTAGCTAGCTACCTCGGGTATATGATGATACTTCTGCCTCTACTCCATTCAAAAAGTTTGCTAGCGACGTCATAAGATATATATATCTTATGCCCAAATGTTTTTGTAACCGCTATGATTAGTTCATCGCACATGTGCTCATTTGGAATGCAAACATATATGTAGCTACACCCGCTGCTACTGGCTGGCTCTGAGATTCCGAGTTAAAATACAGCAATTTCCTTGCTAAGTACGCAGAGAGGCCCTGAATCTAGCTACAGTGCTTATACCAATGCTACGATACTGTCAGTGCAATGAAGACCTTTTGGAGGATGCATATTTCTTCTTACATGAGCGACATAAGCAGTTTTTGAAGACACAGCCTTATGCGTGTATCCCTCTGTCATCTTTATAGGGCTGTGTATCCCAGCATCTAGTGCTGCTGAAATTCTGTACAGAGATTTTGCTTCCTTACGCTGATGGCGCGTGTGAGAGAGAAGAGTGTTGGTGACATTTCCATGAGGACCCAGTCTGCTCCAGTCCTGGCCACAGTCAGGAAAGTATTGGGTCCAGTGGAAAGTACAGGCCCCACCTGTACAGTAGCGCCTAATGTAGTAATCAAGTTTCTTTTGTTTGGGGACTAGAGGAATGAAATGGTCATCCGAATCCACAAAGAAGGCATAGTCATATGTCCCCTGGAACCTGTAGATGCAGTTCTCATAGGCGAGCATCTGGGAGTGATAAAACACTTCGCGTCAACTTAGCCAGTTGTGCCACATTGAATACGAGATGAATCCATCCCTAAGTGCCTCTTCAACAAACTCGTCAGTTTCAAGGATGCCACTCTGTACAAAGCTGTCCTCTGCCAATATGTAGATGTGGTCTACACCAAGGTGTTTGTAGTAGCGGAAGAATTCTCTTATGTAGGTTGGGTTGCTATAGAGGACAGCTATGCATACCACAGTCTTTAGCTTGTCCTGGTCTCCTGCTTCCTTTTCTAGCGGGACAAAGTATGTTTGTTCTGACTCCACACGATACAAGTCTCCACCATCCTTGATGTGGTACCATAGGAAGACACGTGCACCAGAGGAAATGTTGGCTGGCAGTCCAAAGCAGTCAATCATGGCCACGTCATGGTTTATCTCAGTATGATGTCTGTGGATCCAGTTCATGTTGCCGGCCACACGGATCTCAAGCACCATACTTACTGCCTTACTGGTACCACAGGCTACTATTCCACTTCCTTTCTTTGCCAGCTCCTTGTGAATCTCAACCAAAAACACGGAGGCATTGTTGAAGCCATTCCTAGGCCGAGGGTCCAGGTATACAGCACGTATGATGACCTTGTCCGAAGGTAAGGAGGAAATTTTATAGGAAGAAAAGTTCAGGGAGGTAAGCGCATCAGGAGGTAGCTCAACGGGCCTCGCGGTTTGCGGAACAATTGGAGCGGTCTTGCAGCCTCTAGACGCAAGTTGCTGGTAGTAGAAAAACCCGGTGATGACTACCACAACACAACAGACGAAAATGTAACGTCTGTACTGCTGAATCGTCGGTGCCGGCGGCGCCGCTTCCGAGGTGTTGTTACAGCCAGACATCGCTCGGTGTCACAGTATTATTATTATGCCCCGGATACCCGGGGTAATCTATCCTAATTGGCGGGCGGGAGCGAGCTTGAGTCTCGCCGTAGCCATGAGAAAATAGAATGATCTTTTTAGACAGTGTACAGCTTTTATAGAGATAGTGACACCACAAGGGGTAGTGGATACAACAATGTAGAACCAAAGACTGACAACTACGAGAGCAGTACAAGACAATGGTGACAGTGGGAACATAACCATAACAGTCATTCTACAACCTAGTGGTCCAAACGGGGCGATTTTTGATTTATATCTGTTTCAGTCACGATTTCGGCTTCTGCGCGTTTTCCAGCAACTTTCCAGCAACTCGCATGCCCAAATCGACACACCCCTTTTATCCCGTGCACGCGCGCAGTGGCGATCTTTCTTTCTGCCGTTTTACAGACCAACGGACAGCCTCTGTGCCTGCCTTTCATCCTGCTGAGACATTTATCACATGTCTCACTCAATCCGGACCTTGTTGCTTTTTTTACTGATAAAAGCAGAATCAAAGCTCCGACCGCCACATCCAAGTGCCGACTGAGGATGCGTATATAGGTGGTTCTTATTTGATAATGCCACCATGCCGCCCGCTTACCTAGTCAGAGTTCACTAATGTGCGTTTTTGGAAGTGTGTAAATTTACAAAATTTTGTGACCGACTGTTTGGCAAGTCATGCCCGTGTGCTGCCGCTGTAATGGCAGCGGGCGCTGCAGGAACTGTTCGTGTTCGAAGGCCGGCAAGCCGTGTGTCGACTGCCTACCGCAACGTAAGGGAAGATGCTGCAACGAGTGTCATACTTCCAGTCAAACGCCTACACAACCCAGCAGTTCAACTACCCCACAGGCTTCCAATATTCCGAGTTTAGGCTCAGCGTGCGTCGGAATTCAAGATACCCAACCGCCAACCCAGCCTTCTCCTGACAACGAGATGGCACATGAAACGTCCGATCAACGGTCTATGGCTGACAACAGTGGAATGTCGTCTTTGACTGACAACAATGGAATGTTAGGTGCCGGACCTGATTTTCTTCCAGATTTTCTTGCAGAACAACAAGATCAGCAAATACTTCCAGAACAACGAGATCAGCAAATACTTCCAGAGATAATCCCAAGTGACCAGACTACTCCAACTCCTGAAACGGTATCTCAACATCCACTCAGCCAACCGTCTAATCATGGGCTGTCAGCCACCCCTGATTGGCCTTCACCAGCCCTACACCCTCCGGATTTTCGTTGGGGCTCTTACGAAGGAAATGCATACTATGATGCCGTAACAACTGCCTACAACGAAGTCATCCATTGGAGACGTAATGTTTTCCTGGTGCCATCAGGTACGACTGGAAAGGCTTTTGTTTCTGAGCTAGCTCGCCTTATGCAATCCTATGCAGACGGCTCCAGCCTCGAGAGTATCGCCATGAAGGCAGGCACTATTGCCCAAATCTTGCTCCTACAGAAACCGAACCGAAAAAGCAAAAGCAAGGAGCATGTCACCCACCTACAAAGAAGACTCAACCTGTGGCACAAGGGAGATATCCAATCCCTCTTAGAAGAAGGGCGATGTATTCAGAAACATCTCCATACATCACCGAGACCATCAGATGACCAGGTACTAGCTCGGACCTTTTGCCGATTGATGATGCAAGGGAAGGTACAAAAAGCCTTGAGACACCTCTCTAGAAAGACTTCTGGGGGTGTGCTGAGCCTGGAAGACCTGGTACCAGAAGCGAATGGGAATGGGAATGGAAACCAAACACACATGCGCACTACTCACGATGTTCTACTTGACAAGCACCCCCCGGGAGCCTCTCCAGTGGGAAGCTCCCTTCTACGTGATGCACCCGAGCCAGTCAACCCAATCGTCTTTGACAACTTGAACGCAGATGCCATCCATCAAGCAGCGATGCATACCAACGGTGCAGCTGGTCTCTCAGGACTAGACGCATATGCCTGGAGACGTCTGTGTTCTTCCTTTGGATCAGCCTCCCGCAACCTATGCTCCGCCTTGGCCGCAGTGGGTCGCCGCATATGCACTACCCTTGTCCACCCAGAGGGGTTGAGCGCATTCGTGGCATGCCGACTGATCCCACTCGACAAATGTCCAGGCGTGAGACCCATCGGAGTTGGAGAGGTCCCGAGACGAATTCTAGCAAAGGCTGTGCTACGGATTGTGGGTCGAGATGTTGAAGAGGCAGCCGGTCCTCTCCAGGTATGTGCTGGTCAAGACGGTGGATGTGAGGCAGCAGTACATGCCATGCGACGTATCTTCCACCACCCTGACACTGAAGGAGTCTTGCTGGTGGATGCCACAAATGCCTTTAACACGATCAACAGGCAAGCTGCCCTCCAAAACATCAGCATCATCTGCCCATCAATAGCACAGATCCTAATCAATACCTACAGAACACCGGTCAGGATGGTAATTGTCGGAAGCGGAGAAATCGCCTCAACGGAGGGCACTACACAGGGAGATCCATTGGCGATGGCCATGTATGCCCTGGCAGTAACCCCTCTAATCCACCAGTTAGGAACAAATTCACCGGATGTACAGCAAGCCTGGTTCGCGGATGACGCAACGAGTGCAGCCTCCTGCAACAAACTGAAGACTTGGTGGGACGACCTCACAGTGCTCGGTCCAACATTTGGATACTACCCAAACGGTTCAAAAACCCACTTGGTAGTGAAGCCTGAACATGAAGAAACGGCCAGACAGTTATTCACTGACACCGATGTGAATATCTCCATTGAAGGGAAACGTCATCTGGGTGCAGCTCTCGGGTCCAGGACCTTCACAGAGGAATATGTGACCAACAAAGTGCAGGGCTGGACACAGGAGATCACACGTTTGGCCGAAATAGCTACCACCCAACCACATGCAGCCTACGCAGCTTTCACCCATGGCCTCTCTAGCCGCTGGTCCTACATCTCCAGAACGATCCCTGACATTCATGATCTACTACTCCCCCTGGAGACTGCTATCCACCAATGTCTTATCCCAGCCATCACTGGCCGAGCACCCTGCTCCAGACAGGAACGAGACCTCCTCGCCCTCCCAGTCAGGCTTGGTGGCTTGGGGCTAACAAATCCAGCAACGAACTCCTCCCATGCTTTCCAGGCCTCTGAGCGCCTGACAGCACCTCTTGCAGCTTTGATAGTAGCACAGAGCCCTGAACAAGCCGTTGACCAGACGGAGGTAACTGCCATCAAGAAAGACATCCGGAAGACAAACCGACAGAGACAGGAGGACAAAGCCAAAGAAATCCGCAACCATCTCAACCCTAATTTGAGACGTTCTATCGACCTTGCAATGGAGAAAGGCTCCTCCGCATGGCTCTCAGTCCTCCCACTGGAAGACCACGACTTCTACCTCCACAAAGGCGAATTCAGAGATGCCCTATGTTTGAGATATGGGTGGAGCCTCAGTAACACCCCTCACACCTGCAACTGTGGAACCGTGTTCTCGGTGGACCATGCAATGATCTGCCACATGGGAGGATTTCCCACGATACGACATAACGAAATACGTGACATCACAGCATCACTCCTTACAGAAGTCTGTCATAACGTGGCCACGGAACCACTCATGCAGCCTCTAACTGGGGAAACACTCGCTCTACGCTCTGCAAACTCTGAAGATGGGGCCCGCCTAGACATTCGTGCAAGGGGTTTTTGGAACAGATCACAGGATGCATTTTTCGACGTTCGGGTTTTCTACCCAAACGCACCCAGTAATCGTTCCACGAACATCTCGTCTGCCTACAGGAAACACGAACTCTTGAAGAAAAGGGAGTATGGTCAACGTGTCCGAGACGTAGAGCGTGGTGTTTTCACACCTATCGTCTTCACCACCACAGGAGGTATGGGACGTGAAGCGGCAACTTTCTATAAACGACTCGCAGACATGATTGCCGTGAAACAGCAGAAACCATATTCAACCGTGATGGCCTGGCTGAGATGCCGACTATCCTTTGCCACCCTGCGCTCAGCCATTATGTGTGTTCGAGGCAGCAGGTCCTCCCGCCACCGCCCAATACGTGTACCGGACATAACCCTCGCAACAGCTGAGGGCCATGTCCCAACCACCGAGTGACTCTGAACCCTACGAGAACTTCTAGACCTATTCCATTGTTTTTTTTATTTTGTTTTCTTTTTCCTTATTATGTATCATTTCATCTTGTTGTTTGCGTGAAAAAAAAGAAGAAAAAAAAACCACACCTAGCCCCTCCATTCGCGCATGTGTAGAAGAGAGTGACGGCTGACGGAACGACCGCGTACGCCGTGTAAGTGCGCATGCGCGGCTTCGTTAAGCGCTTCTTTTTCACATGTGCTACCTGCGCATGCGTCAGGATAACGCGCTTCTCTTACACGCTGCTCGTGCAGATACAGTCATTGTGTGCTGCTCCCTCCCGCTGGCCAAAAATGCCATGCATTCGCCTACTATATAGCATTGTACTAAATATCTGGGCTCCCGATTTAATTAGCGCATTCGCAGCGAGGGTAACGGTACTTGGTCCGTGAGTTTGTCTGTCTGTCTGTTTGTTGTCTGTCAGTCTGTTTGTTACCACGTTTCTGTAACGACGCGCAACGCCTGGTTCTGAAGCGGTATATACCGGCGATATTCCCGAAGCTGTTTACTCTAGCACCCTAGGGGGTAGAGTAAACAGCGGACCGCTGAAGGCGTTAACCTATTTGGAACCTAGCAACCGTACTAATTGCCTAGCAACCATATTATCCAAATTTTGCCAGGGTCGTGACAGAAATCGGTGGGCGATCGAGACGGGGGAAAGGAGGCCGAGAGCAAGGAGCTCGAGAGCAACTTGAATGACCCCATGCCGCCTGTTGACCGTTTGTTCGAGCGAGTATGCTTTAGGGTAATGTAGCGTGAATAGCGGGCTGCTGTAGCGCAGAGAACACAAGACGCCGCGCAGACCTGGAATGACATTCTTTGGAGTCTCCTTCGCATAACACTTACGCTACAGCTCAGCTATGGTGCAGCTAAACCTGACATTTTTGAACAGTGTGTTCAAAACGACACAAATGACGCACGGCACACAGCCCACTCGCTCCAGCTCTCGCCTTTTTCTGGCTTGCGTGCGATCTTCTCGCGTACTGGCTCTCCACTTTTCCCTTGCATGCCAGCTTGGGATGTAGCCACAGCCATCTACAGCTTACCAAGAAAGGTCACTGGCCATTGTTTGCTCATGGCTACCCAGCCAGCGAATATATACTCACATTGACTCAAACGGCAGCCATGGACCCATCCTCGGGAATATGAGTATTGACGGGCTGGCGGCTTGGGTATATACTGGGTATACTACTACGGCGGTGCCTTTGAAGATGAGCAAAACTAGGCTACAAAACGAAAGAGTGACATCAAAATGTTCAGCGCTATAGCTACCTACATCAGAGCACTTTCCTACCCCAGCCTAGGTTAGTAATGTCTTTCACCTGTTTGTATCAGTGAGAGACTCGACTAGGAGTTTGATTATCTTCAGAGAGTGTACACAGCTCATTAATATTCGCTAACATTTAAGTATTAGTCAACCTATTGGCGGTGAAGGGGTATAGTTAATAGCAGAGGAGGAGCGATATCCTGTAAGCACCGAGCAGCAACGTGAAGATGTCCCTGAAGGTCAAAAGTTAGCCCGCAAGGTTTCATCTGACATTGGAAAACATAAGCAATTTTTCATTGTCACGAAATACCTGGATGCGATTATTGTCTCTATCTGCGGCAAATACTCTTCCTTGTGGGTCAACGCAGATTCCAGTTGGGTTGTTGAACTCCCCATCCCCATCTCCAGCTTTTCCAAAATTTAAAACAAACAACTTTTCACTGATGCTAAACTTCTGAACTCTTTTAATTCACAGACATATATGTTGTCACCTGTGATTGCTACAGCAGATGGAGTATGTAGCTGTCCATTTTCCTTCCCGTGATTCCTAGCATTACTAAATGAATGTATTTCCATGCCACCTTCAGTGTAAAGAGTTAACGTTTGGTTCTTGCATTCGGAGACTACAAGGTAGCTATATAGCCTTCTTCTGTTAGTGCCACATCAAATGGAGAGTCGTTGGTATTAAAGGAATGTGGCCTTGACAATTTAAGTGACTTGTAGGGAGTTTCTCTGGGTATGGTGACATAAAACTTGAAGGGACTCCCTTTAATGTGTAGGTCAGCAATTGCCACATTCAACTCATGGTCACCTTTATACTGTGGAGTGATAGACACAGCCATCGCCATGATCAAGGGTCTCACCACTGGTGGCAGGACCCCGGAGACTTAAATCAACTAATATAGCTGTTACATTTTCACAGGATTTGCCCTCCTTATACTTATCTACTACTCTTATGGTTCGTAATCTACTGATGACAGCAAGTGGTACATAATGTGCATCACATGTGCTACAAGCAGGGGAGCATCCACGAGATATGCAACCTAAGTTAATCATCCTGCTGATGTAGCTTTGAATGTGTGTGGAAACAAAAGCACTCCTTGAAGGCAACAGCTGGAAATTGTTAAATTGCTTTGTAACCCTTTCTGAGACAACATTCTTGGTTGATAGTAGCTGTGCTGAGGTCTGGGTTGGAGCTTCAGCTATCAGCCTGGATGCAAGGGAAAGACCCTCTTGTAGCCTCTGCAGTTGTAACACTTGTGCTTGAAGACTTTTCACCTTACTCGAACATATAGCTTCACTTTGTGCGAAAAGGTGCTCTTAGACCTTCTTTAGGCTAACGTCGATGCAGGCTTCTTCATTCTTCTGAACATTTCCCAGTGTATCATTACAATCACTAATGGCTTTGGTAAGGGAGGCCACTGCTTGTTTCCATCTCCTTGATTTGCCTGAAGGCTCTCCCTTTCATCTTCCCTAAACGTTTCTGGTCACCAATTTTGAGGTCAGTACGGAGGTCACCGAGCAACTGAGACTGGAGCACTTTGTTCACGAGGGGGAGGCGAGGATCGACGCTCTCCTCCTCATGTCAATGATTAACGGGGCAGAGGAGGTGGGGGGGACTTGGTGCAACCTGACCACATGACATCACAAAACTCTTTCTAAATCCTCCCCCCCATGTTCCTTTTCACCAAATTTTCTCGTGTTCCCTGCAGTTTTGTGTGTTATATGCGCATGCATAGAGAGTGTATGTAAGTATGACATCATACCTCATCTCCATGTATAATGAGGGTGTCTTCTGTGTACTGAGGGAGCCGACCGGCAGAGAACTCGGGCGCGTGGCTCTGTCGCGCCGTGAGCAGTGTCTCCTGCCCCAGACTCTCTTCATCTTCCTCATCCTCCTCCTCGTCCTGTACATACCACACATTATGTCACACAATGTCATATGTGATTCGAACTACATACTTCCACTCCGTGGTTCCGCTGTCAAAGCGGGACAGAGTCGTAAACACGCTAATGAGTGGTAGGAGGAACATAGACAGTAAACACACACACAATAGAGACAACTTGTTCACCCACAACGTGGGGATTGAGTCTGTAAACAGCTAATGGGGTGGCATATATAATCCCATGGAGGGCTACCGTCAACAAGCCAGCAGGTGGACTTTTGCTTTCAGAAGGTGTGGAAAAACGTTTATCAGGAGTTGAAGAGGGTTAAAACATGGTTGTAACACGGAAGAGGAACTCAGTGAACCCACCAACTCTGAGGCAAAAAATAAGTTCTCAGTTTTCAAGTATTGATATCGAGGTTACTAGTATAAGAATAGGTATTTCAAGGATGATAGTAAAAAGGTCATTTACCTGGAAAGTAATGGCACAGAAGAGAAATGTGGTATATAGCAGTTTCAGCCTGAAGAGAGGAGGAGGAGGGGGATTAAGAGGAAGCACGTGAAACAAGAGAACGAAGCCTCTTCACGTTGCTGCTTGGGTTTCTTGACACACAAAACTGCAGCGAACACGAGAAAATTTGGTGAAAAGGAACATGGGGGGGGGAGGATTTAGAAAGAGTTTTGTGATGTCATGTGGTCAGGTTACCCCAAATCCCCCCCACCTCCTCTGCCCCGTTAATCTTTGACATGAGGAGGAGAGCGTCGATCCTCGCCTCCCCCTCGTGAACAAAGTGCTCCAGTCTCAGTTGCTCGGTGACCTCCGTACTATTTTTGTAGAGCAAACTTCTGCACTTTCTCAAGTTTCTCAATATCCTTAGTAAGAAAAGGGTTCCACACTTAGCAGGCGTACTCCAAAGATGGCCGAATGAGGGAAATGTGGAGTTTTAAAAGGGTAGATGGAGATGCGTTGGCAGAAAAGGTTCTGTACATGAGACCCAGTGTTTTCTTAACTTTTGTACACAGGGCATGAATGTGCTCACCCCAGGAGAGATCAGCTGATATAATGACACCTAGGTAGGTATACTGGTAGACACGAGAAATGGCGTGGGAGCCAATGGTCAGAGTTGGTGGGTTCACTGAGTTCCTCTTCCGTGTTACAACCATGAACTTGCACTTCATTGGATTGAAAGGTAGACCATTGGTAGCAGCCCAGTAAAAGTGGGTATCTAGGTCTGACTGCAGTTTTTTTTAAATGGTTCTTTCTGATTGCTTTATATAATAAGATGTCATCAGCGTAGAGTGTCATATGTGTCCCAGGCGAGAACGGTAAACTAGTAGCACTGTTTATATAAATGAGGAATAGCAATGGTCCAAGTACAGAACCTTGAGGTACACCAGAGATAGTGAGGATCTCATTTGACTTTTCTCCATTTACTACAACTCTTTGCACACGATTAGTCAGGTAGCTACAAATCCACTTCAGTAGGATGGGGTGAACTTCCAGCTGCTTGAGAACCAGGAGGAGGTTGCGATGAGGAACTGAGTCAAACGCTTTCCGGAGGTCAAGGAAGACTGGGCAGATCTCAATACCAGATTATTTCCGAGCACGTTAGCGTGAGGCAACTACTCCGGGCTGCGATACGCGTACGTTCGTGTCGTCACGCTTAAGAATGTCAATTAGTCACGCTTAGGAATGTCACTTCCGCCATTCGTGGGAAGTCGAGTCAGTAGAGCGCGCGCACGAGTTGCCTCATCGGACTGGGCATGGCGCCGGCACGAGGCAAAATATGCGCGTGCGCATTCCTATATAGTAAATATTAATGCCAACTCTCAGTGACGGAGAGCAAAGCTAAGGTTGTGGATCTGTCAGAGAGAAACCCCCATTGGGATTCGGAAGTGAGAGATTTGTCCATAATAAGATCCGTCAATAAATTTGCCACATGTTTATCCAGAACCTTGCTCAGTATTGGAAGAAGAGAGATTGGTCTGTATTGCAGGGGTTCGTTTTATCACCTATTTTCGGGATTGGCACAATGTTGGACACTTTCCAAAGCACAGGACACCACCCGGATTTGATTGATTGATTAACTAGTGTCGTTACTGAAGGAGCGATGCTCTGAGCAACGGATTTAAGCATATTAGCTGAGATTCCATCTGGACCAGATTATTTGGTTACATCAAGAGACTCTAGAAGGTGTTCTACCTCTTCAACAGTACACAAAAGGTCATCTGGACACTGCTGTGCAGTATTACCAAAAGTGTCAAGATCAGCAAAACCAAGAGGAGAAACTGACGAAATGAAACAGCCTCAGAGTGTTCATCAGAAGATGAGGGCGAGCCAGAGTCCGAGACAGTCACTGCGCCGCGAGAATAGATTACACAGCTCAAGGCTGCGCTGGAGGAATAGAAGGGCAAGGCAAGGGAACTGTGGAGGCTCAACTGCGAGCAGTTAGCAGGACTTGACAACTCGTTGGCAGAGAAGGACGAAGAGACTGCCAAGTTCTGAGACGAAGTGACCCGTTTGACTTCGTTTGTAAAATAGTACAGTATTATTCTTTCATCAACAATTTATGACCTCAGTCATTTTATCACATGGTAAAAAAGTTGAATTGAGGAGAGAAGGTAATATAAACTCCCCTTTTGAAATGCTTGTATTGGTATTCTATAAAAAAAAGCCTCTTACCTATTATAGGTCCATATATCACTGACCCTCCTCTTTAGGGTTGTTGATGGATAAGCCTTTTGAATGCACTATGTAGAGATGCTCTGTCTACCTACATCCCTTTTCATTAGGCCTAGCCTCCACATCAACATTCATTGCATCCTACTATATGTAGCTAACATATTATCAATGGCAAAAATTGTACAAAGCTATGAGTGCCAGCGCTTACATGCTCACCGTAAACAGCAATGAAGAAACAATATTACAATAGAATGAGTTAATCATCAGTTAGATCCCCTTTCTTTATGGACTTGGCTGCAGCTATTGTAAGCACAGGGATGGTTACTGGTGCCAGAGCAATGCTTATGGGCCATAGTTAGTCCGCGTCATAATATGTTTTTGCAACTATTACCTCCAGATCATCATCTGAGTCTTCACTTTCTTCATCATTAAATGCGCTACGTGCTTTGTCTATCACATAAGGTAGAAGTAGAGACCCTACAATGCCAGCTTCAATAGCAAAGGCAGTTTGTGCGGCAGTTGAAGGAGCAGTCTTGCAACGACTACTGCCGGCAAGACCCGTCACTGTGGTATTGAAGGCCATTACGTGAAAATGATATTCATATTTCGAAATATAATTCAATGCTTCATCAATATCTTCCACTACAGATGTGGTATATTTGCTGTGTGATTTCAATCCCTCCACTAAAGCCCTTGTTTTTGTCGTTCTCACAGCCTCTTCCCACTGTCCACCTTCGACCCTCTTGTAAACCAAGTACTCTTCTACTGCCTCTGGATTGTGCCTCGGAGGCTCCCAGCTCAGCTTGACTCTGTCACTACCTATTCCAATGATCCTTACTTTGTTCGGTGCACCAGGAATCTTCTTGAGTATCGCTTAGAATTCACTCAGTTCTGATAGTCCTTTATCCAGAATTTCAGTGGCTGCTGGTCCTATAGCCTTTTTCAAGTATTCTTCTCTTATTTCACTTGCTTCCCTTTGGATATCAAGTGGTAGTGACTTCTGAATTGCTTCTTGTACGTTTTCCCCTTGCTCTTTTGCACGAGATCAGTTAGCAATTTTTCACACTGCTCTTTTGACGCCAAGTAATTCAGTGCAGTGAATTGATATAGAGCACCTCCAGCAACTTGTCTCCTGCTGTTTCCGCTTGACTCACTCCACTGCACCACCTTTAGCTCCAGGCTATCCAGGAGTGGCTGTACCTCCTCGTCGCTGGAGTGGAGAGGGTTAACTCTGCAGATTTCCTCCCTCAGAACACTCTTCTTTCTCTTCAGTGTCTGTTTGTGGATTCTCAAGAGATTTCTCTCTTCCATGGGCAGGTTGCCTTCCAAAGCCTCCTTCATTTCCCCCTCGTACTCCCTTACAAGCTTGTAGGAGCATTCCTTCAGCTCCAGCCTCACCACAGCCTGCCAGCCCTGGTCCAGGTCTGGTATGGCTCCTGGCCTGTTGACTGCCTCCACATAACCTCCAGCTAGAGCAGCCAGAGCCTTTCCATTCAGTGTAGTAGTCCCATCCACTGCCTTCTTAGGAGTAACTTTCTGGATGACTTGTTGGATGAGAGCATCGACTGCTGCATTGAAGGCTGGTTTGAGCTTGTCTTGTTGTTCCACTATGCCACGGATGATATCTCTCTTGGTAGAAGGTATGGGGAGAGTGACACACTCCAGAGAAGGGAAAAGACTGACTAGAGACTTGCCTAAGTCTGTGAGCTCTCCTGATTCAGATGCAAGGACCCGGGTGTGAAGAAACTCAGTTGCTTCTAGTTCATTACCTGTCAGTCATCTTGAGACTCACATCTCGCAGCAGCCACAGAAAATGAGGAAAGAATGCTCGTCTCAAATCCATCGACATTGACTCCCCACATTGAGCAAGGAGGGAAGTGGAGAGTTGGGAGAAACACCTCATCTTGTTGAGGTCCAACTTCTGAGGCACCTTCTTGGAGTTATAGATGAGGAAGGAGCTGAGAAGTGTGGTGAGGGTGAGCAAGCTCATGGCCATGGTCTCAGAGGCACCCACAGCATCGATACCCTCCGTATCTAGGAAGACTATTGCAAAATCCTGGCACTCTAGGACAGTGGTGGCCATCCAGATACCTCGAGTGCAGCACTGTGGAATGCACGAGGTTCTACAAGAGTGCATGTTTCTTTCCCTTTTGTGCTTCCAGCGACAATGCATGATGTCATGTTTCGAGTGACTGGTTCTGCAATCTTAGATTTAAGGCTAAGCTGAATCTGAAGAGATAGGTGTTTTGTGTGGAGGACCCATATAGAGGTTAAATATTCCTGGGGAGGGTGGTAAGTTTGGTAATCTATTCATATGTACGAGTTTCAAGTGTGCGTGGATAATGAATACTTACATTTAAAAGGAAGTATTAAAGCTAGTTGGTGTCCTTACAACATAATAACTTGTGATGTAAGTTAAGTAAGTGATAGGACACTGATGCATCTCTGTACTATCTTAAAATCGGAATGCAGACGGTATGTGCACTCCATATACGGGGGAAAATCGCAAAAATACGAAAGACAAGAGTGCTCAAGAAGGCGTGGCAAGTATTACGACAAACGGGCAGGTACGGGTTAGTACGGGTAAAGTCACGCAAAATACAGGGAAAATTGCCGCTGGATACGGATGACGTAGAGTTAACTTGGAGGCTATGGAAAGAAGAGTCCTAGGGATTGATTGGCTTTTGTCTGTGATACACTGATGTATGATGTATGGGCTTTTGAATACCCATAGCTACACTGCCCCCCCCCACACACACACACAAACTGGATGGTCCAGGGAGGGGAAGGTCCGGTTTGTCGTTTACTTCATGCACCAGTCATCAGGGGAGCTCCTCAGCAGATCATCATAGGTCACAGGTTGTGGTCCCTTTGCCTCACTACCACTGACGCGGGCCTACTTCCTTGTAAGGGAGTGTGGTGTCTGTCTGTGTTAGTCTTCCTAAGCCTTCAGGTTGTTGTGCTATAATTCAGTTTTCGTCCGTTATTCTGAGTAAACTTTTAGGTCATGACAGGTGCCTGCCACTATTACTTTCCCAAATGCACATGAGAAAAATAATATTATTTTTATCTCAACTATACTGTGACTTCCTTCATTATTCCATAGTGAGTTTATAGAGCAAATTCAGTGCTACAGTTTGGTGTGTTTATATTCAATTGCATTGCCATGGGAACGAGAACAATGGCTGGCTTCCAAGTTGTTTCTTTGGCTCCACTGCGCACAGCATTTCCACTGAATCACTTCGGGGGGGGGAATTATACACATCATCATCACTCTAGGGCGGACACTTTGGCTAAGGCTACATTTCCAGGAAATTCATTTGAATACTCCATAATACTGCAAAAAACAAATGTATTAACTTTTGAGATAAAGAAATCCAAGTCTAAGTCGATCGTCCCCTATAACTCCTCAGTAAACACTCTCTTCTGGGACTCGTATACTTTTCAACAGCTTTTCACGCCTTGTGTCCCTCACGGTACACCTTTTCATTCCCTGGCCGTTCTGCAATATTATTGGTCGGTAGAACTGAATCATATTGAACACAGAGGAAGTATACTTAATAGTGCATAATACTGCAAAAACAACAAATGTATTTAGTTTTAGAAATAAAAAATCAAGTCTAATTCGTCCCTTAAAACTCCTCAGTAAACACTCTTGTGCGGGGCTTCAACAGCTTTTCCCGCTTAGTGTCCTTCGCGGTATGCCTTCTCATAGTCCCTGGCCATTCGGCAATTATTGGTCGGTAGAACTGAATCATATTGAACACAGAGGAAGTATACTAAAGTGCATAATACTGCAAAAAAACAAATGTATTTAGATTAAAAAAATCGAGTCTAATTCGTCCCTTAAAACTCCTCAGTAAACACTCTCGTGCGGGACTTCAACAGCTTTTCCTGCTAAGTGTCCTTCGCGGTATGTCTTCTCATAGTCCCTGGCCGTTCTTGCAAACTTTCTGATAAGGTTGACACTGACCGAGTCCATGGCTGGATTCAAAAGTTGCAGTAATCTGGTGATTGTGAGGTTGGTGTATGAACGGCAATACACCTTTGCTTGGGCCCAAACACGTTCAGTTGTATTTAAGTAGTACAGTGCAGGTACTTTGCTGTTGTTTACCTAATCTTGAGAATTGGAGGATCTACTTTATACATCACACCACACTTTTTCTTATAGAAACGTCATTATATTATAATTATACTGCTGGTTGAGCCGTACAAGACTCCTTATTAACTTTACATACAACAAACTGGATGGAGTGTTACAATTGATATCTCCTATTACCCTTTCTGCAAGCCTCATCATATACTGTTTTCCTTTGACTCGTATCAATTTAACCCCTCCCTTTTTGCGATGCAGTGTTTGGTGCAATTTGTGGCATTATACCAGTTTGTATATACTTCATCATCACCTTTTCCCTCAAACAGATGAGACATTCATTTTGGCTCAAATGCTGAATTCTGACACTTACTTTAATTATAGTCCATAAAAATCATACATTGTAAGTTATTATGTCGTAAGGACACCAACTAGCAATAATATTATTATTACCGTCTATATTATTTTGTCTTTGCGTAAGTAATGGTTATCGTGGACACTATAAACTGTAGTACAATTGTTAAGGATAGATTACCAAGCTTACCAACCTCCCCAGTGATATTCACTTTCTAGGTCATCCACACACAACGCACTGGATTTTATCTCTGCTTCTACAGCTTAGCTTTCCCAATCATAGATCACAGCGCTTCATAGTAGGATGCAATGTGGAGGCTGAAAGATGATGTACGTAGACAGGACATCTCTATTCAAGAGGCTTATCAATAAAAAAAACCACATGGAGGAGAGTCATATCTTCCAGTGTATTATAGAACTATAACAGGGAAGAGGCTTTTGTACAGAAACCAATACATAGTCTAACAGAGAGTTTCAAAACAGGAGTTTATATTACGTTCTCTCCTCAATTCAGCTTGTGTTTTTTACCATGTCATGAAATGACTGAGGTCATTATAATTGTTGGTGAAAAATAATACTGTACACTTTTACAAACGAAGTTGGAGCATTGGAATGAAAACTGTAGAAAGTTTGTTGTTTCAGAGGCGAAGTTGGATCAGAAGGTCACGTGAGGTGAAAACAGGTCGCGTAAGACTGGAAAAGAGAGGTCGGGTACGGAGGTCACATGAGACGAGCAAAGATAGGTCGGGTATGGAGGTCACATGTGATGAGCACAGAGAGGTCAGGTACGGAGGTCACATTAGACTAGCAAAGAGAGGTCGGGAACTGAGGACACATGGGACGAGCAAAGAGAAGTCGGGTATGGAGGTCATGTGACACGAGCAAAGGTCACAGGAGACGAGCAAAGAGAGGTCGGGTACAGAGGTCATGTAAGATGAAGAAGTGACGAAGCTCCGGGTGTTTATTGGAACAGACTGTAAACTTAAACTTGAGCCGTAGGTTACCCTGCAGAGTGTTACAAATGGATGCTTAACACTTCAAATGGACATGTATATCTTACGGAGAGTCTTTGAAGTGAGCTGATTCTGAAGTGGGCTTCACAGTCCTGCATACTGGACCTCTCGATATCAACTCCTTGCCCCTGTAATCAAAGTAAAATTATACAGTGAAGGAGAATAGACACGTAGCTGGAGTAGCTACAAACACACACCTGGTCTGACATGTCCACAGTACAGGAGATGCAAGATGCCGATTGACTGGCCCTCACTCTCCAATGAATGACGACAACCAGGACATTAGAGAGGTCGCAATCGAACCTCAGAGAGACATCTTCCACCAGTTGACCCAGGGCAGGGTCCAACTCCTCTGGCTGTAGCCTCACAGGACCTGGTGGAGCTGTGGAGATACAGCATTCAGTCACTGGCTCATCTCAGGACTTCAATTTGTATGTGAGTGAATGCTATAGAGAGTTGAGTGGAACTCTGACACTGAGTTTAGACAGTGTGGTGTGGCACATAAAATTTCGATCTGCACATGCATGTTGTGCAGTTACATGAGCGTGCCTTTTATGCCAAGGGTTTTCACTTTAGTGCTGACAAGCAGTCTCACATACCGCATACTGTGAATACTAAAAAGCATAAGTGGTATAACCCCACCTAGTTAATCAGCATCATTTCACCCACAAGCATCATTATTAGAAGCTATTCCAGTCTTTCTATAATGTACAAGTGAAAAAATCATTTCCAAGGGGGATATAGGGATGGTTAGAAGCTACGGCAGTGACTTGCGACAAAAAGGAATGATCGCTTGTTGCCCGTGCACACCTCCGACGATGTTCAGCGAAAAAAATCAGCGCTTCAACTGCATGGTTCCAATGGAGATAGCGGGTTTAAAGAAGAAGAAGAAGAAGATGAAGAATATGATGACACGAAACACGTCAAATCGCGTATGAGCAAATTCTCTCATGGAGTACTGAAGGTGTGTATGAGGTCTTTGGGTACATGTATAGCTAGATATGGGCCCGTAGATTATTGCTAGTGTGTTTTGAAGGCCTAGGCGATGAGTTAATTCATGCGCTCGCTCTCAGTATTATGATTGTATTAGAGCCGTTTTGTACGCGGATCACGTGAGATTTGACCCGTGCCATCCCTATGTAGAGAGCGCGGGGCGTCGTTGTCATCTACACCTGGTCGTCCGTGTGACGGAGGAGACTGAACATAGCATTTGCAATGAAAATGTGGAGGGAGATAGGCTTGTTGCCTACACTACAGCTACCCAATAATTAAGCTCATCTATGGAATCTTTAGAGTGCATACCATCCCTTAGTTACCTCTACCCCAAATATAGCATCTCTTGATGGAATATGCTGGTGAAATCTGCAACAGAAATATAGCAGTCTCAGCAGGCTCACTAGTGCGTTTGGCATCTAGCTCGCACGTCCTCCAGTATTATTAGTATCCAGTGTGCTTCCTGCTCAAATCTCTGGGTCATCCAACATAATGTCGTCGTGGAAACTGATGCCTGGGTCCATTGTTGAGTAGTGAGGGCTGTCGGAGGCTGGGCATCGGTATGTGGACTGGCTGACCTGGACTACTGCTTCCATCTTACCGTGACTTGACAAAGGACCGGATTTGCTGCGGAGAATGGTATTTATTGGTATTTCGCATGTCTGTAGCAGCATTAAATGATCTTATCCCAGGTCCCCTTATTATGTGTAATCGAGGAGCGGCCCGGAGAGCCCGGCCCGGGGCGCTGGGCCGCGGGGCTCCGTGGGAGGCGCGAAAATGGGCAGTCGATCAAAAGGGAGAGCAGTGATTGATTGATGACCGCGGGAGTCATGAAAGACATGCATGACAAAAACTTTTTGTGCTATGCTCACTTTGCTGTGTTAGTGGATATGTCTGCTAACTACAAGGCGAATGCAGGGCATTTTTGGCGAGCGGGAGCACAATGATTTGGACTTTTGAACCACGAAGATTAGAAAGAAGTACAGCCTCTGTCAGGCACCAAAGAGTGCAGCTAATGCCGTCTAGTGGACGAGAGTTTTCGCTGGCTGGCTACATCGCACATAGCTAATGCCGCTGAATGGACAAGAGTTCTCTGGCTGGCTATATCGAGGATCGAGAGCTAGCTAAGCCAGCGAGCAAATATTGAAATCTGTGCACTGTATATATACGGCCTAGAAATCATTTCGGATAAAAAGAAGGGCATAATTTGATGACGTACGGTGACATATAAATATTACAATTACAGAAAAATCTTGCCCATTCGGACCACTAGGTTAGCTCGCTCCCGCTCGCCAACGAAGGTCATACGCAGCACAAAGGGATAATGCTTACGTGACTGCTTGCAGCGTGGAAGATTACTGCTACCAAATGAATGTCCCCTAATGTGCCCGGTGCTGTGTATTCCACTGTTCATAAACACACAAAACTCACTTTCCAAAACTTTGTCAAACACCATTTTGTAGTTGCCTTCTTTGAGAGCATCTACAAAAGCAGTTGTGAAAGTTGAAACTTTTCCAGTCTCTTCATATGCCTTGTGGCCTTCCGTGCTACAGAAAGGATGGACGCATATCAGTCTGGAAGACTCAGAGACAAGAGTATGCATGGTCAGTGCTCATTCTAAAATGGAAGGGCTATATAATTATGTTTCTGCATATGAACATTCCTTGTGCGAGATACTAGCGTATGACATAAACTTTTGGTGGAAAATGCATTGGCAGATGAACAAGAGAACCGCAAAGTAATTCTATTCACCAACAATGGTAAGAAACAGGCTCACAACGATAGACAAGGTGCTGTGTTCTGTGGGAAAAAGTGGTCACTATAAATTCTAATGATTGGGAACTGGCTCTTACAGCATTAAAGGTGCTTTTTTTTTTATACAACTACCTTGCTGTCAGTATAGCGTAGTTGGCATAGTGGTAGGTGCGCTGGTGTTGTGGCACAGGGTGAGAGCAATCTGGCCTGTGTCATAGAATAGCCGATAAGAAGGGTTAAGTACAGTGTTGACAACCATAATTATGAATCATCAATTCATAATTTTTATTTACATATTTTCTATGCTCTATACAGTATGGGATTGATTTATGGAAAGTGGTTGGTCGCGTGAATCATCACCTCTTGGAAAATTGCCACTGGTTGTTTACAAGGAAAATGGTATAAACATACAATCACTGACAAATGGCTGGCTTAAACATATGCATCCCGCTCGACTTCTACCACACATCGAGCTTGCAAAGGTGCATGGAGTTTTAACACAGGCACACTAAAACTAATATGTTAGCTACTTATGGAAGATAGTCGATTCATACTCATGCTGATGGTTGGTTGCCATCAGCAAACAAACTTGCACTAATATACACACAGCCCTTTCCTTACGTGGTTCTGCAGCAGTTCATGATCATAAAAACCCTGCAGAGTTTGGACTGGAGTCTTTCACATACAGTGACACTGGCTATGCACTGGTTAAGGTCGACCGGGTGGTGGGCATCAATTGGGAGTATGTAATCAGCGTTGCCGATGTTACAGCCGTGGCCGGTGTAGGCAAACACCACGTACACCCCCGCCACCAGGAGGTCACAGATGAGATGAAGAGCTCTCATAGTCTCATCACAGCTGAGATTCACCAGCGAGAACACCTGGAAAAAAAGTAAATTAACATTCATTCCATAATTATGCAAATACACATTCACAAGGGAAAAAATTGCAGATGCAACCATTTGCGGAGTGTTGAGGCAGTGAACAGTGCAGGCCAATGACCTTGCAGACTTTCTCATGCATCATTGCTCTCTTAAGAAATTCTACAGTGTAGTGTTTAACTTTGGTAGTGAAAAGTTTGAGTAGAAATAGCTAACGAAAGTTCACAAATTGTTTGTTGCTAAGTCTGTTGCGCACTGCTCTTCCTTATGTGATGCTACAGTGTAGCGTCATGAACTAAGTTATGTGTCGAAACAAAAATGAATCTAAGCTACCAACCTTGAATCCAGCATCTTTCAGAGCTTCTTGCAGCGCCCTCACATCAGCCACTGAGCTGCTCAACTGACTTTGATGTCTGTAGTCCTCATTACCTACCAGTAACGCCACCTTGTCAGTAGCTGGAGAGAAAAAAAACACCACGGGAGTATGAGAAAGTACTTGCTTGAAGTACTCGGAACAAACTTGCTACTTTTAATAGTGGTTACCGTAGCGTTTTTCATCTTCAGTCTGCTGGACGGTTTGAGCTGAGTAAATAGATAGAATGACTATTACACAAGAGTTCTGAATTACTATACCACCACTAAATGCGTTGGCCTCATTTCCAGCCTTCCTTGGCTGCGTGTTCATTATACGTAGTACATAAGGGCTATCACTTAGAGCGAAAGATGTTCAATATAAGGGCCCAGTCTGTTTTAGCATTTTGTCTTTTTAAACTGCCCTTTATGAAGCATGATCGTTGCACTTCGAACAAGAAACAATCACGGTAGGTAAATGTACACACAGTGGAGGAAGGCTGGAACCAAAGCTAACTGTGTGGCTGTATGTACCTTTCAGCTGCTGTATCTGTTGCGGAGAACGTGGTCCAGTTGAGTCCGTCTCCTGTGAGTGGGCCAGAGCCACAGTGGCTGGCTCACTGATGACTGCCCCGCCCTTTTTGTCACTCACTCTACACCTGTACTGACCCGTGTCATCCACTGTCAGCCTTTCCCTGCATGTATTTTGAATCATGTCATAGCTATCCTCGAATTTGTTGGGGGGAAATGATTTAATACTTGTATGATTCTAGGGTCTACACCCAATACTGCAGCAGAGCAATCAGTCACCAATGTGAACCATCCAAATGCAACCTTATAGAGGCCACATTACCACTTCAAACTCGGATTTCGAATTTATAGACCGCTTCAACCATACGATTGGCTCAGCAACACTCGCAATTTATGCCTGGTAGCTTTTGAGCTGAACTCTTTTTATGTCACACTATATGCACAAGGCTGACTTATGGTCAGACATGACTCGTGGCTTCTCAGTGAGTGGCTTTGGACCTTTGCAAGAGTATATACCCATACACATAATGCTTGATTTTGTGGGGTGCATTATGTTAATAAATAGGCTGAAACACTTGACACAAAAAGTCAATAATGCATCATTCGTTATTCCTGTCGTAGCTATAGCATGTGTGGCACAACTGTCTACTACCACAAGTAGCTGAGTCAGTCAGGTCGCATTCAAAAGAGAGAGATAACGGACCTGGCTACTCGAGAGTTTGCACAGCAGGCAGAAATTTCTGGAGCGTTACACGTAGAGCTGTAGCTACATATGACGTTTTCATTCAAATTCCACCAAGTGTCTGAGCTCACCTTTTGTATGAGGAAGAGGTAGCTCCACGGATGGGAGAGTCATCATGTAGCCACTGGTAGGAGAGTGAATTGCTGCCTCTACCGTCTCCGAGGGCTGCCAGGCAGTGGAGTTGGAGAGCGTCACCTTCTCCCAACACCCAGGACCGTGGCTGCCTTACCACCTCCACCAATGGCTCTATCCTCCCTGGAAAATAGAATCAGCATTAGAATAATATTATGCTGAGAATAATGATAGCATGAATTGTACATAGCTAACAGTGAATCTAACATAAATTACCTGTCTATAGAGAAAAAAGGATAAACCCAAAACTGAAAATATGATTTAGAAGGTGAGACGCATAGCGTGATTCAACCTTACTCCATGATAACAATTCCTCGACCAATAACCTGGCGGACCTCTTGAACCTGACATTATTGATTGACATTCACCCACTCAAAATAAACTCCGTACACTATAGCTATCTTCACAAGCATACCCTGGACATGGACCGGCCTTGTCTCAGCAAAGTAACCTTTGACCTCTGCTTGACACCGGTAGTGACCGTCGTGTTCAGGGGATAGTGGGTCAAAGGTCAGGATGGGATTCTCCGTTTCTTTATAAAACCGAGGGATTTGGCCGGGGAGAGTATTTCTCAACCACTGGTATCTGAGTGTGAAGCATTACTTTTTCAGACTAATGATAATTGAAGACTATTACCTGATGATGTCATGTACTGAAGGGTGTTTCTCTGCCTTGCATTTCAAGACAGCTTGCCTTCCAAAGTACTGCTCGCCCTCAATAGTAAGAGGACTGGTGATCCAGACTGTGAGACAACGACAATTCACCAAAGTAATTCGGTGAAGCTCGTGTAGCTACGAATGACAAAGTTGTTATACCCAGCTTTAGAGTGATGGATACTAGTTTGGACTCCACTGACACTGTCTCATCATGTTTCAGAGAGACACGGCAGAGAACTTTATCTTCCCTTGTCACCTTGTATCTTAGTCTGGGCCTCCTTCCAATGACCCTCTCAGGTCTGCCTGAATTGACATAGTTGTATCTTCAAGTTACTAACTAAACTGTTATCTCAGTTTGAAATGCATCTTAATCAATCAGTGACTGGTTGTATAAATCACTTGAACAATGAAAAAAGAGGTCAAAGGAAGGTCGTACTTTTACACATAGCCAACCACAAATTTTTGTCGCTGTCCTCCTCTTTTAATTTTTCATGAATAATATTATAAGGGCATGGTTACCATGCTACTTCATATAAGACTAAGATTTGAGTCACGAAATTTGTTGTTGGTTATGCATAGTAGGCCAAAAGAAAAACAGGTTATGAACATGTGTCACGAGCTAAGAACAATGAAAAATGCTGACCAGCAGATTTCATGACTCAAAACTTAGTCTTATAATTATTATGAAAAACCAACCCGTGGAATGTACATTATTCACATACCTCCCTTCATGGAAAACCAAGCATACTTCAGTGGCTGGGAGCACTTTGGAGTAGCCTTGGCATACAGGGAGACGAATTCGCCATGTTTGACTTCCATTCTAGCAGGAACTGGTATTTTGTGCTCTCTAATCTCCACTAGACTCGGGGAATCTGCCCTCTCTGGACCTGCAAGAGGGTCTATTATGGGGAAGGAGATCTTCGCACTCAGTACACATACAGTAATGGGTTCTGCATTTGCTTTACGTATTGTGGTGTGAAGTAGGCTTTTAAGCCCTACTAGCTGAGTTGCCCTGGTAGCTCAGTCGGTAGAGCACGCTGGCTAGACCGCAGAGTGTCGTGGGTTCCAGTCCCTCCCAGGGCAACTCTTTTGCGTGTTTTCAGAGTATCATTATATTTTTGGGCTTTGCACGTTCATACACCGCATCACATGACTCATGCAAGCACACACAGTTTTGATAAAATACCTGGTGGGATGGAGTTAGTGGGAAGGGTGAAATACCCACCTGCAATGGAGATATTATTATCAGGATAGTTTTTACTCGAGAACATTGAAAGCACATACTCTCCTGCTTTTGATTGTAGCCACCATCTCCATCGTCATCTGATGATTCCTCTTCAGTATCATCATGTCCATCTGCGCTGTCCATTGATAGTGAGTGAGTCCTATCTATTTCACTTCCCCTCCTTCTCTGGCTCCCCACACTCCCTCCCCTCTCCCTCCTGGCTGCGGTACCCTCCCTCCCCTCCATCTCCTCCCTCCCACTCCTCCCAGTTTGCCTCATCTGAGAATCAGGCTCACTAGTGGACACTCTTTCATCATCATGATCCACTCTCACACCAGTCTATAATAATAGTAATAATCATAATAATTATTATGATAATAATACATTATAGCCTGAATGTGGCAAGTGAACCGCGAGTCAGAAATAGTACACGTACAATGTACATGAGCAAAGTGCACTTGTTTCACTCCTATATTATACAAATATACAAACTCGCAAAATACACAATCAACCCATGTTGTAGTAAATTAATAATATGGTCAACAACCCGTTCGTCTACATTATGTTAATACAGACAGATGATGTCATCCTACATTCAGATGACTTGGCTTCACTCGCCAACAATAACTACTGCTCCCTTACACTTGATCCTTGTACAGCCTTCATAGCTTTTTGAGTGCAGTACAGACAGGTCACCTCTACCATGTGAATAAATAGGGCATGATAAATAGTGCGCACATAAGGGTGGTGCTAACCATCATAATGCATTGAATCAGCCCCTTGTACACAGGTTCCACCAGCAACAATTTGCTTAGGGTTATTGATGAAGACTCTTCGAGCTGTTTGTTCTCTTCCACACATTGGGCAAACCTGTTTAAGAGTGCACCTCTATCAAGAGAAACTTATTTCAATAACTGACATTTGCTGTTACAGCTGCCACATTTTTCGGTGTCTGAAAACTGCCATTGGAAGAGCTCCCGTTGCTTGCATCAGGCACACTTTGAGTCACACTTGTCTTTTCATCTATATACACACAACAAGACACACTTATTAGAAACGAGCACAATTCACTGCACCTCTCTTCCTGGCTTTCTCTAGTGAGGTCTTTGAGTGGGAGGTATGAACCTGGCTTCCTCTCTCTCCCTTTTGCTCTTCTCTATGCTGCTGAGCTGGCAGAGTTCTCTCTCCCGTCATCTTTGGCCTCATTGGTTCAAGTGGTGCCAGGGGTACATTACCTCCACCTCCTCCAAAAGACTGCTCCTTACACAAACAAAGTAATCACCACAGTATGAAACTCGACTGCTACATACTTGTAGAACGATCACTATCAAATGTGATGATAGGTTTTGAACAAACAACCCTATTGAGCAGTTTCGTGTAGCAGTTGCATCTGCCTGATACCCAGGGCCACAGCAGTGAATCAGAATTGAGTTGGGACCTCAAAATTGCACAGACTTTAGACGAAGGAAATGGGTAATATAATACGCAAACAAAACTGGGATGCAGTGCATCACAACTATAGAGCCCATCACTTATTTACACACTTTCTGTGTTGTGTCAGCCTCTGTCACAGTCGTAGCTGGCCGAGTGGAAACAGCAGGCGTGTTTGGTTGGCTCTGGTCTTCAGTTGTGTCATCGTTCCCACCTTGTGCCCCACCACGACTTGATGTGGTGTTACCTGCACACACACGCAATGGATACACAATACATGTACAGAGTATAATACCTAATTAGGGGGAATTTGCTGACAGTATGTCAATGAATTTAATACCTTGTACCAGCAGGTCTCTCTCAACATCCTCCTCCTTGTGGAATTCCTGTCTCTGATCATTCTGTAGCGAAACAGGAGGTGAAGTTGACTCCCCAGACCTTCTCAGATTCCCATCCGCTTCTTCTGAAATAGAAATTACACAATTATGATGTCATGCTACTGCATGAGTATTGAGTAGACAGAGTTATGGTGGGTCAACAAACTGAGTTTGTTTTACAGGAAACATGATAACCTACCCTCAGTTATTATAGCGGCAGGTAGTTGGTGAGGTTGGGGGTGTTCATGTTGTGTGAGGAATTGCAGGCACTCGGGGTGACCCAGAGCATTGGCTAGATCACACGCAGTCAGTGAGTCCTGGCTCATCACAGTCATGTCTGCCCTATGGTTGCAGAGGACTTGGAGGGTCTCGATAGATCCACACCTCACAGCCGCATGTGCAGGTGTTTCTCCACTCTTCAGAGTAAAATGACAAGTGGAATAAGGGAATTGTTAGTGCAGTTAACTTTGTGAGGCTGTGGCATAACAATGAGTTGTGCAGAGTCAAAGTTTCCATATCGGCTAATCAGAAGAGATTGTAACATTATGCGCAGTCACATGCTGAGCCAGCAGACTGCCTTTCATAGAGAATGCACAGAAGACTGCCTCAGCAAAGCCAAATCACACTGGGTTTGGAATCTTTGGCTCAAAAAGCGGATACTGCTGGGTGTCCTCGAAAGATATATAGAGCATGGCAACTCTTGGTACACATTAGAATGCTCATCAAAGAGCTCAGCTTGTTCTTAGTGAGAAAGCTTGCGACAACAATGCTTGGCATCACGAACACCCAAACTGAGCTAAGCATAAATCAAATCCTCCCAACAACTTTCTGCAACAATTCAAGCGCACATTCTCTGGTTTGAGATAACCAAAAAATTTAGGGTCCTGCACCCTGGGGGAACCTTTATCCCCTAATTGGAACTATTTGCGGAATTCACGTGACCACATCCAACCCCATCCTCTGTCAGCATGCTCACCTTGTTTCGAGAGTTGACATAATGTCCCATTCCTTCCTGGTCCAGTATGTACTGGAGTGTATGTGTGCTGCCACTGGCTGCAGAGTAGTGGACCACATTGTTTCCATTGGTCAGGACCTCTCTGAGACTTGCCCCTCTCCTGTGTAGCCAATCCACCACCTCCAAATACCCGTTGAGAGCGGCAATCATGAGAGGGGTTTCCCCGCTGGCGGTTTTGGCGTCAAGCATTGCGGGATCATTGTTGAAGCAAGCTTGCACCACCTTTAGATTGTTTGTTCTTGCTGCAGTGTGGATATCAGTCCATCCACCGCTCTGGATGTGTGTATGTGCGATTGAGTCAAAGTGAGGGAAATGAATGATAGCTAGATACTGTTATAACTGTGCATTATACTGGAATGTAGGTAACTAATAGGGATAAGCTGATAGTATCTCCCTCAGTTATGGGTGTTGCTGATCCATGAATATCCTGCATGCTCAGCGATAGCTATAGTTCTTAGTAGGAAATCGTGTGACAACTATTCTTAGCATCATGGATCGGACATACAGAGCAAATGCTGCTGCATCATGCTGGTTTGTGTTTGACATGCATACACAAACTGCTCATGTGAGTATCATCTGCTAAGCACTTACATACTGTTTTGGCTAATAATACAGGTAGTTCAAACCTATGGTTGGTAAACACACCTCTTCGTTTCCTGAGCCGACTTCATCAGACCGCAGCAAACTTCCTCTCCTAGCCACACTAGAGAACGACAATGCTATAGATAGCTACTACAAAACGACAGTGCGTAGAGTAAAATTCTATACGACAACGGTGTATAGCTATAATATACGACCGACGCGATTCTTACTACCTAGCTATATCATTACCTAAAGAGAATGGGCGAATTGTCCATCTGAAAAGCGTTCTGCGGCTCCTGCAACCGTCAGCAGTTCCCGCCTTCTGCTACTACGTGTTGCACAGCGAGAGTTCAACGGCACAAGACGGCATCACTGTGTAACTATAGCATGATATCCGAAAAGTCCACTAAAAACTCTCTTGTACCAGATCGAGCGCCGCAGTGTGTGGGGTCCAGCGATGATTTCACAACATCACACGGGGCACGCCTTTTATGCGCAATAATAATCAACACGCATGCGCATTGCACGTGCATCTCCTTCTAACAACACATTATCTGTTACTGCAAGTGTTAAAAACCACATTCTGAAGCTGTAAGCATGCATTATAATGACAATGTGATGACCATGAGATAAAATTGTTAAATCGATCAATGTGTCATTCAAAGAAGCTATTGAATCAAACAAACTGCCTCTTCTTTTTCTTCTTGTCGTCCTTTCGCTGTTTCTCCAGCAGCTTTCTCTGCTTGTCAGCATGCTGGCGGAGGGTCTTGATCTCCCTCTTTATGAGAGTTCGATCATCTGCTGAACTCACCCCCATTGCCTGCATATAAAATGTGTACAGTGTCAATAACGAGGTGGTAAGGCAAATGAACAAAACTACACCCAGGACAGCTCTTTTTTCCAAGGGAAAAAGAAGTTCCCATCAACACTCACAATCAAGGCGAACATAAAAAATTGTAAGCTATCGTATTGGTATATGTAGTGGTAATGCGTACTGCAACATCGGGACCAAACTGTGTAACATGCACACTTTGTACCCAACGAGGTGCTTTTGTGGATATTAATATTATATACGCATGTCAGGAATTATACAACTTGCCTGCTATTATGTAATCATAATTGTGCAAGAGTATACACTGAATGATGTCATAGTTGCTATGTAGGGCAGGCAGTCCATACAGAACAAACAAGCCTTTAAGGAACTGTACTGACACAGCAAAATTCTAACAGAGGCATGCAACACAGGCAGTCATACAGAACAAACAAGCCTTTAAAGGAACTGCATACGCCAAAGGTTATTTGACCAAATAACACAGGGAGTCTTGCGGCAAAAACAAGGAAAGGAATTGTGCCTCAACTTATTCCCAGAGTTTTGAGCCGTTTTGTACGCAGATAACACGAGATTTGACCTGTGCCATAACAGAGGGTCTACCAATGCTCTAATAAGTCGCACTACATCCCAGCACCCTTCTGTTGTAATCTGTTGTATATCACAGGACCATCATTACACACCTTCAGGTCGCTGCTATCAATGTCAAACAGTTTGTTTCCCTGCAATCCCTTGTCCAGGAACCCCTTGGCGTGCTGCCCCACCCCAATGCTGGTCACCCAGGCTGCCACCTGGACCGGAGTCCACGTCAACACCTGGGAATGGTCCAGGGTCGTGGGGTCGGGAATAGTCCCGTACTCCCCGTGCATTTTGACCTCCGACTCCTCTCCCCCTTCATCGCCTGCCACGCCCACAGGAGGCGGGGCCGACTCTATCGGGATGTCATCGTTCCTACTGGAGAGTTGGGCCGGTTTCTCGTTTGATGTTGTTCTCCTGGCGAGCGGAAGAGGCGGTCTCTTTGGTAGGAGCTTCACCTCCACATCGTCCAGGTCCAGTGCCTCCCTCGAACCAGAGTCTGTTCCGTCCTCGCCGCACTCTGTGTTCCTGTCGTCACTTATCTCCCTGTCCTGACTTTGCTCTCTGCTCGACCCAGCGGCCGCCGTGTTGCTGCGATGTCGTGGCGACACTCCAAACGGTGCCATGGGGAACAGTCCGACGGCACCGGGCGGTAGTCTTCTCACGGGTCGAGGGCTGTGGGTGGTGTCAGAGTACCGCGTGCCGGGGATCTCACTCACTTCGTCTCCATCTGGCTGGGAGAGTGATTTGGGACCCGAGTCACCTTCAATTACCCCGGGGCGATTTGATGCCGGTTTCTTTGGAAGCACAGGCGGCGGTTTCTTCATGGCCTTGTGCGCGAGTTCCATCCTCTCTTTAATGGTCAACTGAGAGGGGTCCTTCGTTGGGGTGTCCTCGATTGCAGGGTCCTCCCCTTGCCTGTGGGGTCGTCTCGGAGCCGGTTTGGGAGGGAGTCCGCTGCTCTTGGAGAAAGTGGGAGGGAGGAGTGGTTTGGGGCTGGGGGCGCGTGTGTGCGGCGGGGACACCCGCCCTGTACCACGCCCCTTCCTATCGGGGCTCCCCGGACCGGAATCTGGTTTGGGGGGTCGTTGGGGAGGGGTCGCCTCGTTCTGCGGGGGTACGGGGCTGCGGAGGTGGCGAGGGATGGGGAGGGGTTTGTGTACCGGGCTGTCTTTCTCCAGAGTTGCCTTCCTCGGTCGAGGTACAGGGAGTTTCTCTGTAGGTGAGGACGATGAAGGCAGAGGGAATTCAACGCCACCGAGGAGGTTCTCGGCACTCATGCTGCGGATGTGTTCTCGGGAGGGCTTGTTTCTGACTCGTTTGGCGTTGCGCAGGGCCACCTGGGTCTTGTCTTTGGCCAGCGTGTTGTCCAGCATCTCCAGTGGCTTTATGGTGTCAAATGCCTCGATTGAAACTGTAAGGAGATTGACAGAGATGGTGTGTTCAACCAGATCATAGAAAGTAGGAGATTGTCCTGCACCTGATTCCTAAACATTGCTATGTAATTACACATGTGCCATCCTCATTCTTGTACAAGGTACTAGGTAACACAACACCCTCCTCTGATTCATTGTGGCATGTTACATGTAGCTAATTGTCCACTCTCCCCATACGGGATATCCTTCCCCCAATAATAAGCCTCCGTGTAAAATGTCAAAATGCAGTAACATTGTACACATTTAGTATAAACAGGTGAATATCTGAATCCAGAGACAAATGCACAAGACATGAATGTTTGCCTGCAGGACATGCCCAGAGCAGCCTTTGTGCATAGACTTAGAGAACACATGCACACACTCCAAGCTACGTGCACATAGCTAACATACTTAGCAAAACATACAAACACTTAGTAAAACATACATTATGCTAGAAACTTACAGGAGTCATCATGTGGCTTGTCTCTGAGTGGTTTTGGGGACTTTGGGGGAGAGCCACTCTTAACTAGTGAGTAAGAAAACAGGCATTATACATAAATCTTTAACCACCGTTTGTATGAATAACACATGTGCATACAAGTGTGTCACATTGCCACAATGTCAAAATGCCATGATAGTAGAAGGTGTGCTAAATGTGTACATGAGAAGTTGCAGTATGCTCTGCTAATCAGGGCCAACAAGCCAGAAACAGCTGCCCAGAGCTCCACATCTTTTTTCTCTTGGCATCACATGGTTTTTTCTACATGTGTTGTGTTGTATTGTAGACTTTGAGTTGCCCTGGTAGTACATAGCTCAGTGGTAGAGCACTCATTTAGAGAACAGTGTTGTGGGATCAAGTCCCACCTAGGGCTGCTCTGTTTTATCATAAATAAGTGTTGTCCTAGGTTTTTGACATTTGCCTTGTGTTTATAGCCCAGTACGCATATACGTAATACTCAGAACTTCCAGAGGTTGGTTATATATGTACCTGGACTGTCCTTATTGGCTGAGGATGAGGCTCTCGATCTTGGGCTAGTCTCAGGACTAGTGGGAGAGAGGGGGGGGAAGAGAGGGAGACAGGGAGGGAGAAGGGAAAGAGATGCCAGTTACAAAACAATGTCACAAGACACCCACACTGCCCATCACAGGAACACTGTCGTTATTACCCACAGGATGATTCAAGGTCTTACGCAAAAAAAACAACGGATAGCAAGGCAAAGGCAAAGCAAACTACCCACCCAAGAAAAAACTGCCCTGGGTGGGATTCGAACCCACGACACTCTGTTGTCAGATGAACACTGCACTACTGTACTGCACAAACTACACCATACTGTACATGTGTCCACTACCTCTGAGCTCTCTTCTCTGGTATGCTGGGTTCGATATCCAGTGACCTCTGCTTGACGCCGGCCGACAGACCGTACAATTTCTTGTTTTTCTCACTGTCCCAACCCTCCCCCTCCCTCTCCCTCTCCTTCTCCCCCACAGACACGGGAGCTGTCTTCACTGCTCCTGCCACAGTGGCTACTGCCGGCCCCTGGACTCTGGCTTCAGCTAGCTCCTTCTTCAGATCACAAATCTGAGACACATAGAGATGAAACTAATAGTGGTCACCAAGTCACAGACAGTTAATGGTGTTTGGAAATTGCCATACCCATATGGGTGCATGAAAATACATTTGTAGCACGATGCGTGGGTGTATCAAAGGCGCCGACAGTACAATCAATGTCATACTACGAACCGTTAGGAAATTACTGAACGGCAGAATTTAACGAACGGTTGCGCACGGGCTGGCCAACTGCACCAGGAGCTACCAAACTTACGTACGTCTTCGCACGGGAGCTCAACCGTTCGCTAATAATCTTGCTCCAAACCAGTCAAAGCACCGTTCATGCTCGTATACTACGGTTATTACTGAACGGTGTCTTAACATGCAGTCCATAATGGAGGCAGTTTGTCCTCTCTTTGGATGTATGTGGGACCTCGAAGCGTGTCCTTCATTGAGAGGTTCTTTTCAATTGTGCCATTCTTGGAGTGCCGTTTATCACAATTAATAGAGTGTTTTTCTCATTAAAAACGTAACAACAAACCCAACAGTCAAACACATGCTGTCTCACCTGCTGTTCCTGAGTCTCAATACGACTCAGCAGCTCTGATGTCGCTGTCTTCTCTTCTCTCTGCTGGGATTCCATCCTATGTACATACATTGAAACATGCACATGTACTATAGCAGCCATTCAAATGCCTTGCCTCAGTACTCTATAGAAACCTATGCCGGCTGCAGCTACTCCAAAAAGCAGGGATTAATGACAACACATCAAAGTCTGCTATCACCTCAAGCCCTAACTATAAACAAGGACTTGGTACACTTTTGTGTATATGACTGTGTAGATGAGGGCCTTCACTACTAGTACCATGCAGGCTGCAGCTAATTAGCAGGGGTTACAGACAACACATCAAAGTCTGCTATCACCTCAAGCCCTAACTATAAACAAGGACTTGGTACACTTTTGTGTATATGACTGTGTAGATGAGGGCCTTCACTACTAGTACCATGCAGGCTGCAGCTAATCAGCAGGGGTTACAGACAACACATCACAGTCTGCTATCATAACTAACTAACAAACAAGGAGGAACTTGGTACATTATGTATTTGACAAGGGCATAGACTACTACGTAGGCTGCAGCTAATCTAAAGAGCAGGGGTTACAGACAACACATCAAAGTCTGCTATCACCTCAAGCCAATGACTAGGGTTCCCTAACTAACAAACAAGGAGGAACTTGGTACATTTTGTATTTGACAAGGGCCTAGACTACCATGTATGTAGGCTGCAGCTACTCCAAAAAGCAGGGATAAACGACGACACATCACAGTTTGCTATCATCTCAAGCCTAACTAAAAAACAAACAAGGAAGAACTTGGTACATTTGGTATTTGACAAGGGCCTAGACTACTAGTACCATGTGTACGTAGGCTGCAGCTAATCCAAACAGCAGGGGTTACAGACAACACATCATAGTCTGCTATCATCTCAAGCCAATGACTAGGCTTCCCTAATTAAAAACGAGGACCACCCTGGTATATACACTTTTGTAATTGACAGTTTAGACAAGGACCATTCACTCCTGACCAATCTCAAACACCACACATACACTGCACATGCTATTCTCTATTCCTTCCTTGGCTCACTCTCACAAATAGGAGAGTATGGGACTGGGTAAGTGCATATTAAGATGATTTCTCTTTCTTTACAGCACCAGACACTCCAAACACAAGTTTATACAGCTACTCACTTGTTCTCTAGCTCGGCAATCTTCCCCCTCTCCTTTTCCAGCTCCCTCCTGGCCTCCCCAGCCTCTCTCTCCACCCTCCCCCTCTCCTCCCTGGCACTCTTGAGCTCCCTCTGCAGCGAGGACACCTCTTTTCTCTTGAGGGCCAGCTCAGCCTCCGTCCCAGCTCGACCGGCCGACGGTCGTCTCGATCTCTCTATCTCCTCTGACAACCTCTCGTTCTCCTCCTTCACCCCCCTCTTCTCTATCTGCAGTACCACCGCAAACACAAACACGAGTAGACATCAAAACAGCCTTTAGCTTCAGTGAAAACATTATCTGAATATGTACGTATAAAATAGGTTTGTACAGACCAACAGACCTTCTGTGGAAGGTACTCGTTTCCAGGCTCTCCCTCAATTTGCACACAATTTTAACTGGGGTTTAAAGGTGATATGTGTGGGAGAGGGAGATCCTGGGAACGAGGCTGGGAGTTATATAATATTATACACATTACGATTATAACAGAGGTAAAAGGGGGAACCGAGCTGCTAAAGTGACATCATGCGTACACACACAAGACATACATAGAGACTATAAATAGAGAACTGTCTGTTCATTTGATGGTGTGACAAACTTAATGGCGAGCGAAATGAGCGTACTTAGTCGTTTAAATGTGGGAATATTTTTTATACGTGACGGTTCTGTCTGGCACTGTAATGTTCTACGTGGTTCTAAATACGCGCAAAACATGGAGGAAATAATGAACTGCTCGCTCTCACTCGCCAACAATGTGTTTCATTCCTCTAGTACGTACTAATAAAGTACATGTCAGATAGCATAAGCAGGTTGTTGGTTTATGTGCACGACAAAATTTTAGCAATGCCATCTCTCAAGAAGAGTTTCCCTGACCTGCATCTGTTCCAGGGTGGCATGAGCGACAGTGAGCTCGTGACAGGTTGACTCCAGCTGTCTCTGGGCCGTCTCTCTCTCCTCCCGGACCTGGGCCAGGTCGGATTCCAGTTCCGCCAGTCTGGACTGGAGACCACCACCTCCTTCCACCTGCAGAGTAGAGTGTTATTCACCTAGTAACTCACGGGCCTCTTACCAATAACATACACTTCCCTCTACTACATATGTAAATGGATGTATCTATGTATGTACATACCATGGATCTCTTATATACTACTAACATACTGCATATCTCCCTGTACTAAGTTAACGGCTTTACTATGAACCACACGGGCCTGTTACTACACAAGTGAAACAGAGATTGTACAACGGTCGATCTCTTACTAACAACATCATACACACCTCCCTCTACAGGGTGAATGGGTACACTACATGTAGAAAATACCATGTGATGCCAAGAGAAAAAAAAGATGTGGAGCTCTGGACAGCTGTTTGGGGCTTGTTGGCCCTCATCAGCAGAGCATACCGCAACTTCTCTCTCTGGCATCACGAGTTTATAAAGGCTGCCATGAGTGCAGCACTGTTACCGCACAGACCTCACAGGTGAACGGGTGTACATATGTACATAAAGGCAGGTTAAAACTCTTGTAGACACAAGTACTAGGTGGATTATGCTATGTACTATAGGACCACAGAGGGTTTTCTCTACCACTCCGGTAGCTTGCATTGTGACACACAACACAACTCTGGAATAGAAATCAAGTCTATTCTTGGATTACGCACCGTCTATTATTAGTAGCAAAGACTGCTAACCATTGATGCCAACTCTGCCTTGCAGTATAGTGTAAGCTAGCTGAAGGGCATAATGTGATTATAACTGGACAGATGCAATCAACCTACAGAATAATCCCCAGGTTTCTCCCTTTGTGGTTAGACAATCAGTGATGTAATCATGAGATCATACAATCACCATGTTCACACATTGTACACCCACATGTTGTAAATTAGTGACAGGCTGCATGAGCATGGAAAGCAAGTTCATGCTGAGCACTGCAAACCAGTTGACGTAACATTAACATGCCCGACCTGGGAGTCATGGCCTGGTGACAAGCAAACTTGCATGAATGAAACAAAAATGAGCTACATACTATGTACAAGGGAGGAAATGTGCCCCTGGTTCACTAGCCTTCCCCTTTTAACGTGCATATATTGTACATAGAAATAAACTAGTTAGTAGTCTTTGTGTGATAGTTGGATAATACATAGATGTATGCAATGAGAAAATGAAATAAGCTGACTTGTAAGATTAGTAACCCTTTCACTGGGAGCCCCCGGACTGATTGAGTGTGATTACCTCTTGTCTCAGTTCCTTGTGATGTCTCTCGGCCATGTCTCTTTCAGACTCCGCCTCTTTCAGCTGCACACACACAAGGCAGACAAACACACGTCATGTTTTTTACTTGTGATTCAAACCCCACATACTTACGTTACTTACACTAGAGTAACAAACCCACTTCCTTCTTAGGACCATGACATCTCAACTCCCCTCTACATAAATACCCCACTGGGAACCATAGGATTGCAAGTCCCCCGTAGAGAATGCCATGAGCAAAGACCCACACACACATAACTAACTATTGTGTATCACAAAAGTATTGACGAGCAAAGGATAATAATGTGTGAGGAAAATACACACCATAAATTCCTTGTAGTATAGGTATGGACAGCCGCACATTATTGAGGTGTACACACCTTCAAACTACAAATGCCAAACTATATACCCATAAAACAGAGCCTGCAGACTCAGCACACTACTACTACTACTACTACTACTACTACTACTACTACTACTACTACTACTACTACTACTACTACTACTACTACATGAGCAGTACAATGGCAAATGCTCATTGGACTATATGACACATAACATGCAGACAACATCAGTGGACAGTTGACATGTACATGTATGTATGTGTGTATGTATGTATGTATGTACGCACCTATACTAATTCTCTTCCAAACACTACCCTGTACTCACTACTACTACTACATGAGCAGTACAATGGCAAATGCTCATTGGACCATACGACACATAACATGCAGACAACATCAGTGGACACATGTCAACTGATGTTGTCTGCATGTATGTATGTGTGTATGTATGTATGTATGTACGTACCTATACTAATTCTCTTCCAAACACTACCCTGTACTCACTACTACTACTACATGAGCAGTACAATGGCAAATGCTCATTGGACTATATGACACATAACATGCAGACAACATCAGTGGACAGTTGACATGTATGTACGTACCTATACTAATTCTCTGTTAGTCGGGTCACAAAGTAACCTAGCTGGCACACTTACTGTACTACTAATCCATGCTACTTCTACTGTATCACACATTGAGAATAACGACCCTGCACACAATCTACACTGTGAGGGTATGGGTTTATGCATGTGGCCTGGATGATGGCATACATATTACCACTGTTTTTGGTAAGCTGCAATAATTCAATTTTGTGGTTGAGTTGATCACAAACAACCATGCCATCCAGCCCACACACACGATCACACCAGTAACACTGGTGGAGAATAAATAAATACAAGGGAAGCAGGGTGGGAGGGAGAAAGCTTGGCGCCAGAAAACCTGCAGAGCCTGTCGCTGTGTGTTGCAGGTGAGCCAGCGCCGAATGTGGCGTAATGCTGCTGCTGCCTGCAATAAGAGTTGACGGTTGCGCACGCGCAGAGGGTGCACCCTGCGCACCCCAAAAGCACTACCCTCCCCATTAACCTCGTTTAACCCATGGTTAAACTACATTCCAAACACTACCCTGTACTCACTACTACTACGTGAGCAGTACAATGGCAAATGCTCATTTGCATTACACATGCAGACAACATCAGTGGACAGTTGACATGTACATGTATGTATGTGTGTATGTATGTATGTATGTACGTACCTATACTGATTCTCTTCCAAACACTACCCTGTACTCACTACTACTACTTGAGCAGTACAATGGCAAATGCTCATTTGCATTACACATGCAGACAACATCAGCGGACAGTTGACATGTATGTACATACGTAGTGTAATGTACAAACCTATACTAATTCCCTTACTCACACTACCAAACACTACCCTGTACTCACTTCTCTCTTGAGTCTACTGAGTTCCTCCCCGTGTTGATCTCCCGACGACCGAGTCTGAGACAACCTGAGAGTCTCCAATTCTTTCTCCAGCTACATGCACAACAGGCTAATATTATACCAAACACTATAGATATAGAGTCATCACAGTAGCTGAGTGCTGTAGAATTTATGTCAGTCTTGCACATTACCTACCTACGTACGTATGTCGCGGTAGTTACGTTGGCAATCTGTGTGTCTACCTTCCGTAATGCCTATAATGGCCGTGCATTATGCATCACAAAATGACTTGTGGTTGTCTGTGTTTGTGTGTCTGACATACGATTAATTTCTGCATAAGAACAACAGCTTGCATTCAGCATGATGTACACATTCAAAGCTCCTTTTTTTCCAGAATGACACCAGATAGAGAGTCATGGCAGTATAGCTAGTGCTGATCAATTTCTGTTAGTCTTGCACATTTACCTACACGTCTGTCGTTACGTTGCCAACCTGCGTCTACCTTTTGTAATGCCTAGTGTAACCATGAAAAAGGAGTTTCTCATGGTGTGTGAAGAGGAGAGACAAGACTGTGTTGATAAAAAATCCAGGGTACACCAGTCACGTATGTACATACCAGATATTGGGTAAGGAAAACAAATAGCTACGTACAAGTACAACCCACAACCGTAAAATAATAATCTGTGTGTTGTTGAATTGAGAGATAGAGTGATTGGACGTGTATGTGTGACTGCAGTGGTGAGTTACTGACTTTAGTCTTGTCCACAGTGATGTTGGCCAGGGCAACGGTGAGATCTGTTATCTTGCCCTGTGTGTCCTTTTGGTATGCTGCTTTCTGTGGAAAAAGAGGGAGAGGAGGGAGAGATAGGAGGGAGATGTGCATGGTTCAACTACGACGTATCTGAGGTCGAAAGGCAAGGGCAGAGCAAACAAGTCAACTACACCCAGTATAGCTCTTTCTTTTCAAGGAAAGAAGAAGATCTACCTTTGGGGGTTCGAACTAACAACACTCTGCTGTCTAGACGAGTGTCATACAAACTGAGCTACCAGAGCAACTCATCTGGGAGAGGTGCAGGAGCTGTGCTACAGAGTAAGTGGGCAAGGGAGTGGTATAGGGGTTAAGGGCGCACTCTTAACCCTCGGCGCGCATGCACAGTGGGGGGGGTTTCAGCAGTTGTCCCATAAGTGTGTACGCATGTCTGTCAGCAAGTCTGTTACCACGTTTTCTGCGACTACGCACAAAGAGACAACAAAACAGTGATACCAACTGGTTCATCACTGCCCTGGCTTCTTTTGTAAAAAGGTGATTTTCGTATTATTGCCGAGCGCATTAGCGCGAGGCATTAGCGCGAGGCAACTACTCCGGGTTGTATTCTCGCGATATTTGTACGTACGTACGTCGTCAATTAGTCACGCTTAGGAATGTCAATTAGTCACCAAAAGGAAGTGTAACTACCGTCATTCGTAGGAAGTCTAGCTTCCGCCGTGCGCGCAGATTCGTAGGTAGGTAGTCTGGCTTCGAGCGCAGTCAGTAGAGCACGCGCACGAGCGGCCGCAGTCGGACTGTTTACGCATTGGCTGACAGGCGCGAGGAAAAATATGCGCATGCGCATTCCTAGTAAAACTCAAAAGTTATGGCATGAAAAAGCAAGTGAACAAGCCAATATGCAAATTCGACCGGGTCCGCTTGCTCTGTGCATCTTGAAGGCACAAGAAGTAACAACGAAGCGGGTGATGTATCGACTCCCGCATGTCTCCTATTACTGTAACTAGCCCGTGTCAGACTCTCCGCGAGCTACTACCGTGGAGACCACGAGTAGCCTACTAAAAGCCCAGCCCATCAATCAGCGGTACCGCGCATGTGCAGTTTGCACTTTAGAGCTTTTCATTAGTTACGAAAGGAGAGGGACAAAAGAAAGCAAGGGCAACATGGGAAGGAGAGAGAGAGAAAGAGAAAAGATGGGAGGGGAATAGAATTATACCTCAGCTTCTGCCTCCTCAAATTTTCTGTGGAAGGATTTCTGCTCCTTGTCCGCCTATAGAAACAGACAAGGTCAGTGGTCACTATAGCCTTAATTAGCATGAAGAAAGAGGACTAAATCAACCAATAACTTCACATGTGTAGGTGTGACACACATGCCCCATGAAGGTATTAGACCATGTGATGCCAAGAGAAAAAAGATGTGGAGCTCTGGACAGCTGTTTCGGGCTTGTTGGCCCTCATCAGCAGAGCACATGCACATCTCTCCATACTTTTCCAGAGATCGTTGAACATTTCATTATGTATACATATAAGTCACTCATTGGGCTCACATGTTGCGTGCGTACATGTGCCTATTACAAACTGTGGGTGTAGGATGAGAAGGGATGGCTCATACAAACAGCTCACCATCTCTCTGATCTGTTTCAAGTCGTTCTCTGCCTTCTCCTGCAGTTCCTCCATCTGTTAATACACGATGAAAACAGACTTTGCATATCAGAATTGAAAGAGAATGCAACTTAAACAAGAGGTATTGTTAGCACTTTACTGTGCATGTGCACACTGCACACGAAACCATGGAGCATAAAATTCCCTCTCAGTACAACCTGTACTTCCATATATTTCACAAGTTCAGGTTTGTACGTCTCAACAACTTGGTAGCGAGGAAGAAAGGCAAGGCAAGGCAAACGAGTCAACTACACCCAGGCCAGCTCTGAGAAGAAGAGCTGCCCTTGGTGGGATTCGAACCCACGGCACTCTGCAGTCTAGGCGAGCGCTCTACCAACCGGGCTACCAGGGCAACTCAGCTGGTAGGGGTTCGAATCTACAACACAGCGCAACACAAGGCAAACCTCAAACCACATGTATATAAATGTAACATGCCAGGAAAAAAGTGCCAGAGCCCTGGATATACTCTCCCCTAAGGCATTGCTAGTGCGTAAAATTCTACTGTGACAATGCAAAGGGAAAAAAACTTGAAGCAATTGCAAAAGTCCCTTGGACTTCCCCTGGTAATTAGAGAGCTGGCCATGTGTATGGTTGTACATACATATGTATGTAAGATATCGCATGTCTGGTAAACTATACATGTCAACTACCAAACTGATGGTGTATAGTGATGACAGCAACATGTGACCATGCATGATGTCATAACTTTATAATGTGGCTAGGATGCTGACTGACTGATTACTAATGCAATGAAAAGCACTAAAGTGCAAACCCTCGGCGAACTGCGCATGCGCGGTACCACTAATTGATGGGCTGGTTTTTTTTCCTTTACTCGTTGTATCCCGCTAGTAGCTCGCGGAGAGTATGGCACGGGCTAGCTACAGTAGTAGATTGCATGCGGGAGTTGATACATGCCCTTCGTTGTGACTTCTTGTGCCTTCAAGACACACAGAGTGAGCGGACGCAGTCGAGGTAAGCCTGTGCTAATTTGCATATTAGCTCCTTGACTTGCTTTTCACGCCATAACTTTCGAACGCAGCATTTTTACCAAAATCGCTACTTTTGAAATGAAAAGCACTGAAGTGCAAACCCTCGGCGCATTGTGACGCGCACGCGTAAGTAAACGCATGCGCCGTACCAGTAATTGATGGGCTGGGTTTAGTTTTAGCTGTTACTCGTGGTCTCTTCCCAGCTCGCGCAGAGTCTGACGCGGGCTAACTACACTACTAGATAGCATGCGAGAGGCGATACACGCCCTGCGTTGCATCTTCTGGTGCCTCTGAGGTACGCAGAGCACGCGGATCGATCAGACCGTGGTAAGCCATCCCGTCCGTTGTCTATTTGCATATTGGCTTTTTCGCGCGCTAGCTCTGCAACGGAGCAGTTTCAGAGAAAACCCCACATATTTTCTGACCTTCATTGCCCGTCAGTAGGTGTATCCTTTGTGAGACGAACGAACACTCGAGAAGTGAGATGACGAGTAACAGACAGACACACAGACAGACAGACAGACAGACAGACAAACCCAACTACCGTAACCCTCGCTGCGCATGCGCGGCGAGGGTTAATAAAGCCACTGTGGCACTGAACCAGTCGGTATCACTTTTTGGCCGTATTGTTGCGCGTAGCGGGAGAAAACGTGGTAACAGACAGACAGACGGAAGGAAGGACAGACGGACGGACGGACGGACGGACGGAATGACAAACCTAGTACTATAACCCTCGCTGCGCATGCGCGCCGAGGGTTAATTACATTCAACATTGGATTTAAGTCAACACTCAAAAGACTAATTGCCCTGGTGAGAGTAGTTCTCCATGAGGACTCAACAACAAACAAAAAGTAATAAAACCAAGGCAGGGCTGGTAGGTAACAATACTACAGTACAGTGCCACTTGTATAATACATTCCCTCAAAACTACAAACCAACGACATAATCCAGTTCTCCCTCGTTCCTATCTTCACTTTCATCCCTCGTCTCTCCGTATTTCCCCCTCCCACCCCTCCTTCCAGAGGAGGTGTGACAATGTGACATTTTGCTAAGTTAGTGAATACCATCAAAAATTGTATAGGTTGCAGTCGAAGCATGAAGGTATCGTTTTCAAGTAGCTCTTGTGAAGCTACAAGAGACTTTACCGATGATTAGTACTAGCAGTTTAGCATAGGCTGAAAATTATTCCATCTCTGGCTAGCAATTAGTCTTGTTAGAGAGTCAAGTACGTAAATGCATGTGTGAAAATTCGTTTTGCCATCACCTTGCTATATAAAGAAACTTTCTTCACCTGAGTTTGAAGCAGGATCTACGTAGGTTCTGACCATATGCCACCTTAATTTAGACACACAAAAATGCCACACTGAAGGATCCTAGTGACAGTGGAGCTGAGTCAGCAATCATACATTACGTGTTACACCTCATCTGCCTTCTTGCCTCTGACACGAGACAGTTAGTGGTACGTAAACTACAATACCTTCTTGGCTCTGGCCTCTGTCTTCTCCAATCTCGTCTGTAGCTCAGAGTCCTCCATGTCATCAATATCGTCACTGTTCACATAGATTGGCTCCTGGAAATGTACACAGACATCTGGTTGGTAGGTAGGTTACACCTGAATGTATACACTATCCACCTACAGCTTCACGTGTGCAGTTTTCTATGTATGTGGGTTTTCCACATGCTCGTTGTCGTGGCACAGGCTCAGTCAGTCATTACATATAAAAGAGAAAACTGGCCAACTATAAGACGGCTATGTAGGTAGGCTCGCTTCACCTACACCAATAATACTTAGAGCAACATAAATAAAAAGAAATGTCAGTTCTCTTAAGTTGGCTACAATATTTCCAACATTATAATAAGCTTCTACTGGATAGACAGCACTGACACTGACCAGTTGTTTCAGCGTATTATTAACCCTCGGCGCGCATGCGCAGCGAGGGTTACTGTAGTTGTCGTGTGTGTCATTCATTCTGTCAGTTAAGTGAGAACTGACTTCTCCAGTCATAGATTGCGTCCAAAACGGGTTTACATACCCAGCGGCCGACGGAGGTCAGAAAATATGTGGGATTTTCTCTGAAACTGCTCCGTTGCAGAGCTAGAGCGTTTTCCTGTTCGTACGGTACGGCAAGGGCGGCCATTTTGAACAACGCGCATGTGTGTATACACCAAAACGCACGCGACTCCGAGGGCCAAAGCGGCGCATGCTGATTGGGACCACGTGGCCAGCAGCCATTTTGTTTTCCCTCATTTTTCTGTGAGACTAGACTGAGAAGACGGTTGAGTTCAGTAAGTATGCCTCCAACTAAGGCGTTTGAATTGTAGCTCACTAGGTTAGGCTTGGGAGGAAAGAATAATCTTATCTATGAACCTAAATACAGCACCAGTAAGTACAACAATTCTACCAGACCTGGTGATACCATTGCCCCACCCATTACTTTACATAATTGTGCGTGTGTGTTCACTGTCATCACTGCGCCGAGGGTTTGCACTTCAGTGCCTTTAATTATAACCTGGAACTACATTACATCACTATGATAAACTGCCGGACAATAACCCCGCAATGTGTAGGATAACTCTAAAAAGAGCCCCTCAAACACAGCCAGCACACCACACAGCTGACAGCGAGTACAAACAGACATAAAGTACTATGTATGGTACAGAGAGTACGTACGTATGTATATACAGCTACTGAGGTGGGCTTACAGCAGAGTCTTCTCCAGGGACCTGGAAGGCTCCTCTGTCAGGTCTGCCAACCTTGAGTCTGTCCACAGCAGAGTCATGTGAGTGATAGTAGTGACAGGGGACGAGTCAGCAGTCAGTGTATGTGTAATGTGTAGAGAGATACAATGCTCCTTTACCATATATGTATATACTTGTGTACCTACCATTGTATGGGAACTATAATATTTGCACGTATTGTAGTTCAAAATACACGTGCAGTTACGTATAAGGTAACGTGTGTACCATGGAGTATAGGTTGCTTTAGAATATAGGTTGCATCAATACTGTTCAACCAAAGAAGGACAATTCAATTCTCTTGCAAATCCATATCTCACTGTGCTCCCTTGTCACTTCATAAAAGACTAACTTTGCTTTCTTATGTCGTTGAAACCTCAGCCAGCTCGTTCTAGCACTAGATATACATACGTATGTACACTGTGTTGCTATACACCGGACATGAAGAGAGGACTTCAAAATTGTGCTCTGCACTCTACATATACAGTACACATATGTATGTAACTGTTCCAAGGCAGGGCATGGGTGTTTGGATGTGAGTTACACCTGTACATGATCATGAATCAACAGTTCACGAACCTGTATACAATGCGTAGCTGCATAAATCATAAAATAACACCACACAATTCTCTTGTAAATGCCAGGATTATCTGGCAAGTACACCTTTCATGCCTATGCACCATCCAAGGCAAAAACTGGACACACGTGAATTCCTGAGTGATAATATGGTCGCTGGGCGTGTGATCTATGTACCAATCCTACTCCTTTCCAGAGAGAGGCTAAATGACTGAGATACAATGAACCACATAGTCCTCATGTATTCATTTCCATTAGTAGTCCTCATGTAGTAGTTAAAAGGAGAGAGTGTGTGTAGGTAGAGCATGTACATAAAAAAGGAAGTGACTGAGATAGTTACTTTCCATCCTATCCTCTAACTGTTATTCCTTCCTTTTGTCCAGGCTGGCAAGGCTTGTGGGAGCACCAGTTTCACAAGTCAATGTGTTCACTTAGCTTTAGCCTGGGGTATATACGTACATACATGTCTTTAACAATTATTACCACAACTCTCGATCTAATCACTTGAAATGTGTAAGAGCCAGACAGGTTTAGCACAAACAAGAAAATGGTGGGAAAGAGGGATCAAGATGTGTATGTGACGGGGTGGGCTCACTTGACGCTCTCTCTGGATTCTCTGAGTTTCTTGGAGGCTGTTTCAACAGTAGCTCCCACCATTGACACAGAGTTGATTTCCACCAACATGTCTCCTGCCTGGATCCTTGGGTCAGAGGGCGAGGGATGGGGCGGTGCGACAGGAAAGGAGGGAGGAGGGAAGGGGAGGGAGAGGAGGGAGGAGGGAGGGAATATTCTTGCAGCTGACGTTATTGGAGGGTTTTTCATTTATTCTCTACTTTCTTTCTTTCTATTAATAGTGCATTTCTTGCCTTTCGTTCTCTTTTTCTTGTCCTTAACGGCTTATACTTCCTTTCTCCATTTACTATTCTTTATCTTCCTTCCTTCCTTGTCTTTTCCTCTCTTCTCCTTCCTTTCTTCTGATCATAGTATAGGCGACAGTACTAGGGATAAGAATGTCCATGTGAAAGGTAGTCGTTGTAGAGCAAAGACAACCAATCAAACAAAGTAAACTGTTCTTTTTACATTACATTCTTTTTCTAAACTGGTTCTTTTCTAATTTCTTTACTATGAAACTGTTCTTTCCGTGTCTTCTTTTATCAGTCCTCATGGTGTCTACAAAAAAACTGTTTCTGAAGTCATAGTGCTCATGTCGAGGGCCACAGGGACTTGTATGGGTGTTATGTACACCACAGCGGCTGACACAGATTGCAATTGTAACAGTGCACAACCATTGCTCCTCACAATACGACTCACCGGCACCACGCTACAGTCCCCTCCCAGCCCCCCCCCGACTCTGCGGCCTCTGCCAGGCCCCGCTCCGGTATGATCGAGACAGGCTAACACGGCCTCGGAAACCTCAGTTTCAACGATCGCCGCCAACTGTGTCCCGCCCGTCCTATGTGTTAAAACTTCATGGGCCCCCGCCTTACCTAAGTGTGCACATCATGCACAACCGGCACCCCGTCCCCCGTGCATAAAGTGGGGAGTCCCCATTGCACAGAAGGAAGTACTAATACAACCCAGCAAGGGGATCTTCTGATTTAAAAGATGCCAGTCATCCACTGTACTGACACTGAGCCACCTGCTGTACTGCCCAATCTCATTAACACACACTACTTTTTTTCCCACTCCCCGTAGCTGCACTCAAAGCCCAACGCTCACCGACACACACATCCACAACCCCGAACCTATGAGATAAGGCTAACCTCCCCCCCTCGCCCCGGTTATGCCCCCCTCACCCCCAGCCGTGTTTCGTCCAATCCCACCTCTCGCTACTCCGTCACACGCTCACGCTACCCCCCGCTCCAGTGGGACCCGGGGGGCGCGAGACGGCTCAACCCCTCTCACTCCCTCCTACCGTGTTTTAGCGCAGTAGCGTGTCCGACGGAAGGAACGCGACCAGCCACTGGAGTCGGTAAGGTCGAGCCCGCTCAGAACGCGGCACTGCCCCCTTGGCCCTTTTTACTCTCCTATCACACCATCTCTGTATAACTTATATATTCAGTCGGTGCATATTGTTTATTTATTCATTACTTTTTGACCTTGTATCTTATTCTTACACCTTCGACTCGGTTTCTTCTTCTGATTCTTCCCTTCCTTTTTTTTCTACTTTTCTGTCTTTTTCCTTTTCTCCTTCTTCCCTTTCTTGGCTTCCCTCTCTCCCCCCCCTCCCCTACTCCTCCTCCCTCTCTCCTTCCTCAGACAACGAGAGAGTTGAGGAGCTACATTAATAACATACTTTGATCTTCTAATCTCATATGTTAATTGTACGCACAGTTGAACCCATTTATGTTATTCATAACATGGTGACATCATTTCCTTTTCTCCTACACCACTTGTTTAGTAAGTTCCCCTGCTGGTTCTCTCTAGTCTATAGAGCTAAAAATACCCTCATCTTCGCCACTCACCGGCCTGCATGCGTTATTTCCCTATGAAGCAATAGTCAACACAGGCAATGATTTTCAATCACACGATGAGACAGTTGCCCCAAATGATCATATCCTTTGATCATGGTCCGCCTAAACACAATCATATGTACACCGTCAGATCAGTGACGAAGACTGTCCTGGGAACCGAGTAGCATAAGTGTTAACAACAAGCAAGGCTGCACATATCCTAGTACCGGATTCTCTATGTAAAATGAGGAGAACAAATGGGAAGAAATTATGACCCAAACAATAGCTGTCCTAACATCACACCCTGTGTGTTTCCCTCCAGTCAACAAATACACCACCACCACAGATACAAACTACACAACAAACAAGATGACCTTGTAACCACTAAAGAATTCCGCTAATCCATATTCACGCTTGGAAGAGATCGGCCCCCCGATTAGGCCGCCTAAGAGTGGCAGCGGCCAATCTGATACACCCTCGGTGAGACCCTTACCAACACCAGCCCAGCCACAAAAATGCAGTTTAGAGCACACCTAAACAATGCACATAAACTGCTGATATATACACCAACTGCCATCTGGTCTAGTAATGTCAACATGCATGACCCAGTGGCATGCAGCATTTCTATCCCAATGGTGGGTTTCTTCTGCCCATTCTCAGGGTATGCAACACAGGGGGATCTACTCCATCCAGAGCTGAGCTAGGGTTTAGTCAGACTGCATACCTGTACCCAGCCTTTACCCTCCTTACATGAACCTACCCCATACAGCATGAAAGAGACACATGGCTCCCCTCCAAATATGGGCAAGCTATAGACAGCAAGCAGTAAAGAGTCAGGTCCCGTCCCTTATTCCGGAGTGTAATTAGCTACACCTAGGGAACATATTCTTAGATGCATCGTCATTATCACCAGGGCACGGGGGTCGTAGTTGCGCCTTATAAGGTTACTCAGGTTTTCGTTGTATATATTCTCGCCCTCCCGCATTTTCATGTCGCGCCCGGGATCACCCTACCATCGCCCCCCACGTCCCTTTTCTTCTTCCCCCCTTTCTTCCCTTTCCTCTCTCACCCCAACAGCGTTTCATATTTTTGCACGTTTTTGGTTGTGTGTTACATTACGTTTGGTGGTCAAAATTTCCATTACTACTTGTGTGTACGAGCAACAGTCATCATCTCAATTAAATTTTTGAAGTCATACACATGATTACAAGTGTTGGCAATTGAAACGAGTTCCACTACCAATTCTTAAGAGCAAGGATAACACACAAGGGCCGAATGGATTACAGCAGCCCTTACAACTTCGTCGTCTGAAACAATGAGAGGAGTTGCTTTCGGCACTGGGTGGTAGCCAGTTATCATAACATAGCAATCGCACGCTGCTGCAATGTGGACCCTCCCAGAGGGCACCCAGCACCATCTCTCTCCAAAACATTGTGTTTGCATTTGTTACAGTAACAAAATAAGCTACATAAACATGAATAAAAGCAGAGATCAGTGTTTGTGAAATTGCTTCAACTGTAGCATAAAAGCCGCCGCACAACTACCAACAAGTCCTTACATGAATAATAGTGCGCTTAGCGCTTGTCCGCAGTGAGGCCTGAAGGGACCACCAATCAACTGTTTCAGGATGTCATGATGGTACTCGAAACTTCGGCTACAGCCATTAAAATTATAAGTTCATAACAAAGCAAATACCGCTAGCCATCTCAGGTCCACTTGTTACCTGTCTCTTTCTCTCCTCCTGACCTGTCTCCACCTCACCTCCTTCCTCCTACTCCCCGCCCCCCTACCATCTCCCTTCCCCCCCCATCTTCCCGCTCCCCGGTGTCCTATTTTTAGCCACAGCTATATAACACACTTGAAGCACACATCCCTAAACCCAGAGGACAGAACCAAGTTAAGACACATTCCGTCCTTAGCCGATTTAGTGGTCCATTATTCTCAGCCAATACCATAACGGTGTCCTATAGGAGATAAAAGTGTTACCGTCGGACTATCAGTAGGTTCCCCATTCATTTCGTCAGTGGCTGTTGAGTCGCTGTACAGCATGCGACCCATCGTACAATTTATAATGTAATGGCCAGACGTCATGCTTGAGAAAATTGGCTGTATAGGACATGGACAAACAGTGGTCATCCAATAGACTGGTATGTAATTCTAAGGTTGCTACATCAGTATACAACATATTGGAGCGTCACTAAGTTGCTAAACTTATTCATCCAGTTATCCCCGCTCTCTACCGCTTGTTTCGGCACTTCTTGCCGTCTTCCCTCAGCTCCTTCCTCTTATATCCCCGTTGCTCAAACACCCCGATGACTGCTGGTCCCATATCCAGTGACACTCACAACAACACACAACATCCATCAAAAGCCCGAGCTGCATCCCACAAACACAACAAGAATCTCATGGCTGATCAGTATACAAACACTTCCACCATACTTTCTTGACTAAACCACCTTGAAACTACTCGCACTATACGTACGTAGCATTAACATGGCATGTAAGAGGGTCTAAGTACTTGGAGTAGCACATCCAAAAAATATTCCTTAACAGATGATGCGTCAGCCTGCGTAGTACGTCCAGTATCTAAGTATGTGCTCTATTAGGGTCATGTGTTTCCAAAGTCCAGTGGGTGGTTTAGGATGACCACAACTGCAGCTATACGGAGCTATCATATATCGACCAAACATTCCTACATAACTCTGTCTTAGACGACGAACACTCCACATATCAAAGAGGAAGTCTAACATGATGCAATTTGTAATCAACATCTCTTTCTTTAGGAATAAAATAAGACTAACACATCACAACCATCGTACTGTATGTATGTAATTCATTCAAAGGTTCCCCCTGATAGAACTTCTCTTCGTCATCCCTTCTAAAAAACCCTCACCTCCTTTCTTCCTTCCCCTCACATACTTTTTCTTTTTATGTTTTCCCCACTTCCCACCTCTTCCTTCCGCTAATACGTGATATAATCCCCATCGCACTATAGAACACTGCTAGTGTATGTGTATTTTTGGCATGTAGTGTGGGAAAACTGGTATTAGGCTATAGGACCATCAACGTGTATCACAATTAGGAAGAATTAACCAGAAGTGGTAGTGTGACATATCTCGGTTGACACATTGTTATTATTTTTTTTATCATCACCAAGTTTAATCCCAGTCTGAAACAACACACCCATAAATCTTAATTGTGGCCTATTCATACACCGTATCCTTCTGCTGTATAAATTGGTGATACAACATAGCT